GCGATATCGAAAAACCATTGAATTGCGTAATAAGCTCGAATTTCCTCTGCGCTTCGTTGCGGGGAAAAGTGGGGCGTGCGGCGGTGATGCTTCTTAACTTTGCGTCGCGTCGCGGCTATCTTTTTATTGATGTCATATAAGTAGCGTGGATCGATAAGCACGTTTCACGCATGTGAACGTAACACATTGAAATGAGATATTCGCGACACTATGTAACAACTATGTACAACACTATGTAACTCGGTAAGATCGCATTGACAATGTGACTTACTTTTCCTCTCTCTCTCTCTCTTTTTTTTTCTTCCCTCTCTCTTACACTTATTGTAACTTTGTCATTATTTTATCATAATGACACATTGACTATATAATAAATATCGACCGTATCGACACACATACACGTATCTTTTGTATGTCCTGAAATTGTCGGGATATAAACTATGTCCTTTTACCTGAACTAGGATACACATCTTAGAGCAAACCGAGTGCATAATTTAGCATTAAAGGAAAAAATGACAGAGCTCCTGTGCAGCTAAAAAATTCTAGTTGGTTTAATTCAAATAAAAAGAAAAGACTTCTATCTCTTCACATGACAAAACAGTCTTTTTCACTATGCAGTACAAGCCGCCCGTAGGGATTAACAGTTTGGTAACGCAACAATGTTAACAACTGTCAAGCACGCACCAGGACGAGTTTAAATTAATAAAAACCTTCCGCGCTGCCGCCGCCGCCGGTGCAGTTTTAACGTATCACCATGATGACGATCGCGATGATCGCGTGCCGATAGAGGTGATCTTTCGCGTGCGAAGTCGACTATGCAGAAGGTGCGTTGCGCCGCTCCGCTCCGCGCCGCCGGTGGCGGTGGCATTCATCGCACGCGTGGCCTTCGCGCGGTTACGCGACGTCCGCATCCGCGGGAAAAGCGAGCGTGCGTGACGTGCACGTTTCAGTACGACGCCGACCGTCGCCGGGTGAGCAGCTGTGGGTTAGTGTCGCGCTTTGCGAAAAAAAGAAACGGAAGAGAGGGATAAAGGGGGAGAGGGAGACAGAAGAACCGGTCAATCGAGGGACGTTGAGTTCGCGCGCGATCCAATAATCGACTTGGCATCGACCGAGAAGACACGCGTTCCGCCGAGCGGAAGAAAAATCGGAGCGAGCGCTAGTCAGGACTCGTACACACGATGTATGTATTCATTATAAGTTTCCGTTCTCCTTTATTTTCCCTCATACCTGCCTCCTTCTCTTCTCTTCTCGCTCCGTTTCAAGTGTCACGCCGCGCGCACGCGATTCCTCGCCGCTCGCGTGAAGACATTCACACCGCGACTAGCAATTTAACCGGCTTCGCTCATTGATCCGATCCACAATTGTGACGTGCTCGTCGCAATACCGAAGGTGGTACAAAGTGACAGCGCGATTGACGGTCAGAAAATAAAAGGGAAGCGTGGTAAAAGCACGACGACGGCGGTGTCGCGCGTGTCGCGCGGAGACTTTCTATCCTCGCCGCGGGAAATGCGTTATGTGGAATTGTATTTCAGGAACGTCGAGCATCCCGTCGATCCTTTCGGATTCTGCTCCAAATAGCGTCATGGCGATCGTGTGCGAATCTATATTTAACGTCTCTCTCTCTCTCTCTCTCTCTCTCTTTCGCTCCTGCTTTTTAGCGCTTATTAAATTCCATTCTTCTCCTTATTTATACGCACTGGAAGTAATCCCCGGTTTCTCGTCAATGAGGCATTTTCCCGGAAAATGACGGTACCTCGCCGTACAATTTTACGATTGCACAGTCTCGCCGAAGGCGTTACACGTGGTAAAACGCGCGACGCGCTGGAGGAAATTCTCCTTTGTTATTCCCGGCTCGACGTCGTAATATCGGCAATTGTTACTCCTAAGTAACGAACGCTTTTATCGAACAACGGCGCACCGTATCGATCATACCATGTCTCTTAATCCACACGCGGGGCGTCCGCCCAGTCTGCATTATCGGCATTCGCTTCAGATAAATTCGCATTTGCGAAGTCATTCTCGTCACGTGCATTTTTACGGCACGAACGTGAATGACGTAATTGCCGGAGCAATGAATGGAGCGACGTTTAATCCGACAGTTGTACACCTTGCGACTTCGCAGGAAAGCTCCTGCGTTTCGCAACGTAACGGGCAAATCAACCTGCCTATCGAGCCTATCGGGCTGGAAATACAACGTTGAATTCGCACGGTTGAATTCACGACTGCGTCGCACGCAAGTGAGGAATGCATTGGCGTTGAGATGGAAGCTAATTAACTTATTTTCCACTTCACGTTATGACGTGCAAATGATGCCAGTTGAAAGTACTCGTTGCGCTTATCGATATTAAATGTCGAAGTCACGTGTAGATACTGCGTTATATGGACGTTGAATGTTGAAATTGACATTTCATCAAACAACGTAACGCACATCGATGAGAGCGAGAGCGCATCTGCGCCATCTCTTTTTCGCCGAAATTCGAAGATAGAAAATGACATTGCGTGTCTCTGATCGTAATTTCGCCTCGATCTCGTGTCGCAAGATGAGCCAACGACCGGCCAACGGCGTGAAGTTACCACCTGAACGGTATAATTTGATTGCGCACGTATTTCTATACGTCGAGAAGCGTCGACGGAACTTGCGACTATTCCCACGAGCGAGAAATATTCCTCCGGAGACACTCGATATGGCCTTTTCGCCATCAGCTTCGCGTCAAGGCCCTAATTTGTCGCGTACGATCTCGATCGACTTCTCGTATCGAGCTGTGGTATTGTCGCGCGGACTATCGGCGTGACACTCTCGCAGGTGCGAACGTGCGGTGACTTGCAAAAAGTAGAGAGATCCCAAGCTCAAGAGTTCCGGCTTATCAGATTTGTTGCGCGAAATTTAATTAATTTCCGAATTCTCGATATTCTCCCTCTTCCCCCCCCCAACACTCTGCATATCTCAATTTATGCTCGCGATAAGTAGAGACCGCATATAACCGCCTACTCATACTAATTGCCGATAACATTTGTGACCGTGGCCGCATTAAGAGCAAAAGGGAGAGAAAGGGAGCAAGATACTTTTCTTGAGGCGAAAAAAGAGCATGAAATCAAATTTCTATGAATAATCCGATGCTACTGGATTTTTATCAGTTACATTAAAAAGATACGAGCGAAAGGAAACTTTGATAATCCAAAATTTAATAATCTTCTTACTATTTATCGTGATCGCGATAAATCATCTCTATATTGTTTTATCTCAAGCCGGATATTCGTGATATGAAGAATAAGAACAGTTTTAAGATAAAGATACGATATTTAATCAAATCAAATTATCAGTTTGCATATCTGATACATGTATATTTGTAATTGATCAAAGTGTAACTTGAGCAACGTGAGGCCGTGAACGCAGGTTGTGAATCATGCCGTATCATGCTCCAAAATTATAGAGATACGATGCTACAATTTCTACGTCGCAGAAAAGCCGAATGTAACTGCAGGTATTACATAACAGTATTGATATCATGCAAAGACGAAATGTGAGCGTGTAGCTCCTCAGCCGTTCAGTGGAATTCCCGACGACACCCGGATTTCTTCATTTGCATCGGGAGAACGTTTCGTAAATCTCTTTGCAGTGATACTCGACGATCGAAATTGACAGAAATAAGAAACAAAAAAAAGCTACGTCGTCGAGGAGCTCGTTGAGGCACGTTATAAAACCGACTCAAGGATCAAAGATGACGCGAAACGGCAGTTGGAATTATTATCGAACACTTCACGAGGATTATAGACGGTGACTTTGTCATTTCGTTCCTCCTCCTCCGTCCTCCTGTGGCCTATTAAAATTGCCGACGAACGCGGTCGGTGCGCGTTAATTGTAATTTCACGCATGAGCGGTGCAGACGAAACAACAAAACCTGCGACCTCGACTAATGAACGTAAAGACTCTACCAGCACCATGAAGTTGTCGCGCCGAGTTTATATTTGTTAACCCGCAATAACGCAGGTTAAATACAAGGGATAATTGAGACACCGAATAAGAGCGGGCGCTATGACTCGTGCACTCGTCTGGCAAAATTTAATAGTCACACGACAGAGAGAGAGAGAGAGAGAGAGAGGGGGAGTATTTTCGCGGATGCAACATCTCTCGCTTGTGTTTTCCTCGGCGAACATTCACGTGTTAGATTTGTCGTCCTTTCTGCTATATTAATCAATTTAAATCACTGTCATCGCGATGACATTTGCCGCCACGTGCGTGACTGGCGATCCGCTCGCGTATCTTTGGCGCATATATTCTTCATTTCCACCGTTCGATTCGCGCTTCGCAAAAACCGTAAAATATGTCGTACGTCGTTATTAACGATCTCGTCGATCAAAATGACTGGTCGACGCTCATTAGCGGCTCGCGACGAGACAAGGCGAGATGAGGCCACGTGTCATGAAAATACGAGGAGACTCTGTTTATCTGCTCGTATTATTATTTTCTTCGTTGCACTTGCATTATCCAAAAAGAGATAAGACAAACTTGATAATGCGATCGTATGTCAAAGAATGACATTGCATTCAGACACGTCGTTAATCTCCTATTTCCGCACAACATCTGTCATCATCGGCGACTACGTTCGATTCGCACATCGTCTCTAAGGTCGCCTATGACGTCGGAAGACGCCGAATTCGTGTAACAGGTAATCTCCCGCGATTCGAATATCCCCGACGTCTTTGTCCGTGCCAAGACTCGCCGATTGCCGAATATAACCCACTTTATCGATCTCAATCGGTATTCTCTCAACGACGACGCGACCAGCCGTGTCTCGTCTCCTTAAATTCATCATTTCGTTTCGAAATATTTTTGTGTACTTCTCACAAATGACAAGGATGTACCTCACCGAAGGCAACGTCTTTGAGACGTGGGCAAATATTGTAGCTCGTGAAACTCTCGCGAATTTCTTAAATGAGAAAACGGAAGAGCCCTCTTGAGAGAGAGAGAGAGAGAGAGAGAGAGAGAGAGAGAGAGAGGGGGGGGGGAGAGATATGGCATCCGCTAAATTTCTACCACTTCAGTGATAGGGAGAAAAAAAAGAGTCGTAATATCGTAATTACAATCGCAGGATATGTAACGACGTTTATGATAAAAAGCAGCCGTTTAGATAAAAAGTAATTTCGCTAATCCGAGGTAGTGTCTCGGCTCACATCTTGGCTGATCCAAAACACTTGTTCTCGAGACCGAAATTATAATTCTCTGGACTGCGGTCAAAAAGTCGGCCGGTGAAGTTGCTCCAACTTCGTTGCTGACTCATCTCGAGTTAGACCGCTGGACCGCGCGCCTCTTTTTTTGCTTCATCTCATCCCTCTGGAATTCGACGTACATAAGCGTGAGAGGAAGATAGAGAGAAGTAGAGGGAGGAGGAGGGAGCAGACCGGTATACGATCTGTGTGATACATTGCTCGGTATTTGCAAAGAAACCTGTAGTGTATTTACAGCAGATTGCAGATTGCGTACGAAGGCAGAAAAATCGACTCGGTCGATATTTACGGAACATTCTGTACAAATTTGCATGTCTATCTGTTCATCTTTTTGGGGATACCGAATACACATATTTGTATTTTTACATGCGTCCAATATATTTATTTATTTATTTTCCTTTATTCGAACATCGTCGACGAAGGTACAGGCGAATAGCACAGTACACAAAACGTTCACGACGAAATTCTACAGGAGAGAGAAAAACCTCCCGTCACGCAATCCCACGGGTCCAAACGTTATAGTTATATCGTTTTAATCCAATCATATTTTTATGATTTCGACAAGTCGTCCTTGAAGAGAACGCTCACGCAAATTCTGCACGATACTTACATATAACATGCCTGAAAGCGCGATCGTGAATTTTCAAAGCGGAAAAAGTATTGATGCGGCGACATTTATGAATTCGATTTGAATATAAACGTCGCGAAGTATGACGAGGAATTACAGTATGATTCAACTGTTCCGCGCGTGCCAGAGAGAGAGAGAGAGAGACATCGTCGAGGCGTTTCGTAGCAAAATTAATGAATTACTGATCGGCAAACCTATCTAAATGAATTTCGCTGGAGTGTCTCGAAGCTGCAACGGTGAGTAAACATCGATTAAGAGTAACAGATGTTGTCAGAGGTTTCGCTGATACTCGAATCACTGAATGGGATATATAAGTTTTCGTTGTTAAAACGCAGCTGTCGCGACCGACATTGTAAATGTACCATCATGTATCGCAGATTTAACAAAAATTATCTCAATTATCTTTGCCTATCGTTAACTGTTTTTCAAGTTCAATGCACATACGTTGTTTTTCATGGTTTTATATCAAATTGCAAGATAACATCGCAGCACTAATAGTCATGAAAAGGAGCTTCACACAATTCGCATTTGCCAGTATTTGTACTCGGTTTCTTATGTAGGGGTATTCGGTACGTCGTCTACTTAACGCAGCAAATCCTCCAATATGTTATTTTCATACGCACAAGCGTGCAATCTAACTGACGCTCTTTTCACGCATTTCTCAGCGCTTTAAATCGCGGTCATTTAACACGTCCGAAAGCATCCGATCCAAAAGTCATAATTGGATTTTTTATTTATTATTTATTTAATTAATTTTTTTAAATATTTAATTGAATAATAATAATTGAATAAATAAAAAATAATAAAATTACATGTTGGACTAACACGTCCAAATGTATCCGATTCAAGAATCATAATTGAATTTGTTGTGTATTTATCTAATTAATTTATTTAAAAAAATATTTAATTGAATAATAATAATGGAATTTTGACGCAATTATATTGTAATTTTACTTATAATTCAGTAGCATGTACATTCATCAGCATGTTGAACGGCGCGATTTAAAGCGGCGAGAAATCTGCGAGAAAAGCCTCGGCCAAAATGACACGCTTGGTTTTAACATGAATTGCGGTGTTAAAGTTTCTCTTCTTCTTGCACTGTAAATTCTGCGCGACGGTGCGTAAGACGAGCATATCGAGCGAATCGTGACCGGTTGACCCCAACGAGACACCGTTTTGTGCTTATACATATCTCACAAAAAGAGGCATTCAGGCGACTATCGATTGAGCTTGCGATCGTTAATACGTAGCGTCCTTACATCTCCCGCGGCCTTAACGGACTTTCGCGACGGAGCGAGCTACCGACGAGTGTAACATCGCTCTCCCGCGCAAGGGGTATTTCTTTTTTTTAATGAATGATTATCGCGATATTTCCAGGGGGAGGAGCGAATTTTTCACTATCGCGCTGCCTCCATCGGTTCGATTCTCTCACGTGAGATACGGCGCATACAATGGAGCCATTTTCCTCACGGTGACGCAGTACGAGTGTACGCAAACCGGTCGCGAATATTTGTACATACTCTGAATAATGGCATTGTCGGCCGGGGACCTTGCTCATACTCAGTCACTGTCAACTATGCTCGATCGATATCGGTCATACTATCGCCCGCTGACTCGTTGTGCTGTAATTTTTTTCGATAAACCTTGTGAGATAAGACATCTACGTATCCTCTATTATGCCTGGTCTACAATATGTTGTAAGTTGTAAGCCTTGAAGTAAGAACTGACCAATCATAGCCGATTATTTTTATAATAATCGACTGATTCGCCAATTTTTACGGCTTACAACTTACGACACTGAGTCTTCGCTCGACAACTGTACGTTTGTGACAGGGTTCAAATGAATTCAGAACATATCCTGAATTTGTTTAAAGAAATTTGATGCTCGCGATGAAAAATTCGCTGACACGCAAACTTATGAAGCACCCGGAACAGCTGACGTTTATTCATAAGGAAACGCCGCATTTCTCCGCGTGCGTGAACTCGCGCATTCCTCGCAGCATAGTTTTATCTTTCTTATCATCTCATCGGACATATTCACGATATCAGGTACACATTGCGACAGCTGACGTTACCGTTTCCTTCGTAGATGTTTATCTCGACGATGCAATCTTGGGGGTCGAACAATCGTTAATTCTCTCTCCTTCCGATGATCCTCGCAAAGTGTGTGTGATGCTGCTATTTTTAACCATAAGATTACTTCGCGACGAAAGTGGATCGTGAGGCGCGCGCGTGATACGAATTAACGAGACGTCCCTTTCGATTATTCGCGGAGCGGATTATTTCGAGCAGAAGCGACGAGGGTAATGACGAGGGATCGAGCGGTCGAGGATAAATCGATCTCGATCGTGCCCCGCGTCATCCATTAACTCTGCTGTTCCCGACGCTTTCTACACTTTCCCGCAATAAGTCATCCGTACAGACACGACGCGTAGAGACGAGTAGAACTTTCATTTCCTCGTGATTCGATTACTTCTTCATCAGCATTGCAAATTTATTCTATCTCTCCATTTATCTGCTTATATTTATATTTTTACACAGTTTTGTCTTGTACTTTAAGCAGCGACTTGACTTGTCACTTTGGATTCTCCTTCTCCACTAATTTTTCCTGTCCGCTCCGCCTATGCGGAACTAGATCGTTCTCAACGGCCGATCGACGACGATGATTTTTTCTCCGATTTATGTCACGGTAATTGTACCGGGCAGACTGGTCGAGCGTTAGAGGGTAGGAAACGCGCCGTGACGTGAAGGCCATTGACGAACGAAGGTTACCACTTTTACTTTTTAGCCGACAGCTTCTACACGTCGTTTATCTTCGGGATGTTGCGCGCTCCAAATGATTCATAAATTACTCGTCGTAACGCAACGCACATCGGCGAAGATGAGATGGTAACGTTTATTAGGACGTCTTATGTATCAGACGTTGCGATATTATGAAAGAAAAGTTATTCATACACACACACACACATCTCAGTTTATCTTATCAGTTCCTCATACGCTTCTTTTGTGATTACGTAGAAAATCTTCGATAACGACGTATTTCGTTTGTTTTTCTTTTCGCACGGACGATAGATGACATTGACGACAATGTGTGTAGGATATGTAATATTTATATGCCGTTAAAAATGAATCAATTATTATGAGAATCACGTGTGTGAATTCGTCGTTGTTGATGAAATCCGTATGTACAAGGAAGGTACATCGCGGGCGTTCTTTCCGTCCTGTCTCGTTAAGCATGCACGCGTGCAACATCGTGCGATTGTATCTGCACGAGCGAAAAAGGAAAAAGGAAAAGTGAACGAGTCCGCACACGCGCGCCTTCATTATTATATAATGATCTCGGCCGCGTCTCCGCAAATTGCGAGGAATGTTGAAACTTTGTCCGCAATTAGAGATTAGACGCAGCGTGAATAAAAATGACAGGCGCCGCGGTATTTCATTACTCCGTAATTGCGCGCCCGCGAGCTGCATTAATGTGCTGCGACATTATGCAACTGTGTTTTTGCAGCGAAGTAATTTCTCACTTCTTCAACAAAGTAATCTCCCGGCTGCAATCTGATGTGTTATTCTCGTTGCAGCGCTCGAGCGGACCGACGACCGGATTGCGGTGAATCTGTCTTGGGGAGATTCGTTCGTGTCGGACATACAAGGAGGAAAAATGCAAAACGAATATAAGATCGACGATAATGATGTCGTTTACAAGGATGTTGTAATTATAGGTGAGTACAAAGTATCTCTGCTTCGCCTTTTTGCGCCTTCATGACGAGAGGACGTTTTCTTTACTTACGAGGAGTTTCGAGAATTCACGACTAAAGACTAAAATCAAACATGTTTGCCGACCTTAACACTCTGACAATGTCGAAAACTGAGAGTCGACTTCATATTTACAATCTAACCTTCAGTACTTTTTTACGGAAGCTCTCGTCACGCGTTGTACGTCTAACAACGCGATAACCGAGATCGACGAATTTCTTATTCTCCGCTGGATCTCGGGCTTGATTAACGGCGAAATTAAAATCCATGCGCTATTCAGAGTAGTTGGATCATTTGATGTTTCCATCAGTTAGAGTGGTTCATTCATTGTTACTTAACTCAACCAATTTAATCCAACCTAATTCAACCAAGTCTTAAGTATAATAATAAATAAAATAAAGGTGTAAAATCAGTAAGTAAGTCCCTCGTTGTTGCGTATTGTAAAAAGTAAGGAAAAGCCTGCAAATCGGAAAAAGAAAAAATCGTATCGAGGGCGAACCGGATTTTATAAGTCTTATGGTTCTTCAGGAAACGGGCCCAGCGGAATATGCTTGTCGTACATGCTCGCTGGGAACTGGCCTTACTACACCGGCGAGCCTCATCCTGGCGACGACATGCTCACGGCGCGGCTGCACTTCAACGTAACGAACAGCAGCGAGGAAGAGGAGGAGGAAGAAGAGGAGAAGGATGAGGAGGAGGAAGATGCAAACGCCAACAAACGGCACCAGTACCTCGAAACCAGCGTCGTCCGGACGTCGCAGGAAGGTGGGCTGGCACGTAGCACGCGCAACAAGCTGGAGAGCTTGTCTTCCGGCATCGAGGGCAGGGGTGGCGGACGACCCTTGGCCCTCCTGATGGACCAATTGCAGCACCCATGCGTGGACGCCGGTCTGGACGTGCCGTCGTTGCTTGACTGGAGATCCGCTAGCGAATGTCCCGAGCACAGAGTCGTGGATCACGTAGTCCTTGGCAAGGGTCAACCTGGCGGCGCCTGGCAGGTACGCGAACGATACTTTCCTCTTCTCCCCTCTCTCTTTCTTTCTCTTTGTTTCCTTATTCGCGAGCGAGGCGTGCGTCAGATGCTACGCGCTTGTAAACGGGAAATTTTCTGCCGTGAAATAAAAACGAGGCCCGATATTCATAGTAGGGTATTAATAGAACGGCGAGGATAAAATTGCGATGATGCGAAAATGTGTGGAAAAGATTATGACGAAGTGTTTAAAAATTTATATTATACATAAGCGAGAATACATGATCGTGATTCCGGTAAACAACAATAGTACGTTACATCAATATTATAATTTCCCATTCAGTTATATAATTGCACATGTTGTGCCTAACAGTTACATTATTGAGTGAGAAATTAAAATAATGCTGATGTAATATTAATATTGTTTTACTGATGATATTCAACTTGTCATTAGTTTAATTATTGTCCGTCTTGCTTCTCGCTAGTCCATGGATCCTAACGTGCTAACCATCAGCCTGAGCCGATGGATGTCTCTCCCCGACTTGGATCTGAGACACTGGGAGAAACTCGTCGAGGCCGAGCAGTTGCAGAAGTCGATATTAACGGAGAGCGACGTGTGCGCGTACATGCGGCAGGAAAAACTCAACGTCTGCAAAACGGCCAGTCGAGTTTCCGTGGGCACTGTAGCCGCTTATTACAAGGACTACGTGCGCAGAAAAGGCCTGAAGCAATACTTCCGATGGTACGTACGTTGAAAGTGCCTGTACGAGCGGCGGCGAGCCCCGTTATCGACGTTAATGCGGACTTTCACGAGGCAATTTGTTGCAGCGGGACCACAGTTACTTCGGTAAGATCGAACTTGGATTCGCCCGAGAACAAAAGGGGCTATAACTGGATCGTGGATGGCTACGAAAACAAGAGCGGAAAGCGGTTTCGGTATCGGTGCAAAAGAGCAGTTCTCGCGACCGGCACGACCGATTTGTCGAATCAGCTGGGCGTCTCCGGGGAGAAGACGCACGATTGGGTGACGCACGATCTCAACGATCTCGAGACTCGCCTGGAACATATGTTTGACGAATATGGTACGTAGATGCGTTCAACTATATTGTAATAGTATTGTAATATTTATGATGTCCCATTAATGTATCTATGTACGGAGCGGTACCTGACAGTAAGTACAATATCCGTTGTGCGCTTATAGACTAGGTCAAACTGGACAAAGAAGATTGTTCTGCCCTTCGTTCGTTGCCAGTTGGCGAAAGCAGAAAGCTGAAGTATCGCCTTTACAAAGCTCGTCCACCGCATCATGCGCGATCTCTCATTTCGATCGCTTCTTCTAATTAATAACTCAAAATTTTACATGGTTGCAAAATGAGAGGGCTTACCTGTTCAGTTTGATTTAAGCTATATGCACGACAGCGTACTTATCGTCAGATATCGTATATTATATAGATATCGTATATTATGTAGATATCACACATATCTATATATGCATAGATATATGTAACACACCGATCAATCACCGAGGGAGAAAATCCAATTCAGCGATTTGTTCCTTCGCGAATCGCGTGATGTCCATTTGTGTATCTTATGCTCATTCACGAAATTACTAATTGCAGACGAGAGAACGGCCGACGAAGAAGAGCATCCCGTGTTAGTGGTAGGAGCCGGCTTGAGCGCGGCTGACGCGATCATGGCCGCGCGTTTTCGCGGCATCCCCGTGCTGCACGCATTCCGCAACTCGAAGAACGAATGGGGTACCGCGGTCAAGATAAGTAGCAGCTACGACCGACTGCAGTGGCTACCCAGTTCCATATATCCGGAGTACCACAAAGTGTACGAAATGATGGCCGACGGAGGCACAAATTATCCTCTATACAAGTCGCTGCCGGGATACACGCTCGTAAGTCTCGACGAGGATGATTCTGACGAAAGCCTCGACGCAAACCCCAGGAGGATGGCCACTCTATCTGCTCCGGATGGGCAGCTGCACACGTTCCAAGTGTCGACCGCGGCGATTCTCATCGGTAAGCTTGATATGGATTCTTGTTTCACGATAAGTTGGAATTAGATTTATTAAGAAAATCGAACGTTACTTTGTTGATTGATCCCGAAACTATTTTTCGCGGATTAGTCAATATCTTGATTTATTAATGGGATATTCTATTCCGAGAAGCTATTCTTATCTTGATATGGATTTTTCATCTGCGATAGATAAAAACCAAATTTATCAAGACAATCGAGCGTTGTTCTTAACTGATTCGAAGTTATTTTCCGTACTTGGATTAATCATTGTTTTGATCTCATCGGTTGAACACACTCTGTTTCAGGATACAAGCCCGACTTATCATATTTTGAAGGCAATGGTGTCGGACTGAGTAAAATCGCGGGCCGACTAATCGACAGCAAATCCAATCCGATCGAGATCGACGACATCACGTACGAGGTGACCAGATCACCGGTGAAGGGGCTTTACGCGTTGGGGCCTCTGGTCGGTGATAACTTTGTTCGCTTCGTTCTGGGTGGTGCTTTCGGGATTCTAGCACACATTTTGTGCACCACGAACACGTGAGAAATATGACAGCCGTTTACGAGAGCCGATCGTGTCTTAGCAAAATTGTATTGTATATAGACGTACCGAGACAATGAGAATCATGACTTTTACTGCTCAATTCACGTGAGTGCTGAAAGACTACTGTTTTAGCTCCTAACGTGCTACTAATACTGGCGGAAACGCTCGGTAAATCTGTTTGTATATACTGTTGAAGTTATTTTTATATTCCTTTTCACGTTACCGAGAGAGAACGACGGATTATTTAGCCTTCCTGGTACAGAAGGATTGCATAACGCAAGGATGATCCTATCATAGTAGGACTTATGGTAGTAGCCGCTATCGTCAATATGCTTAGACATGCGAGGCAGAGCATAACGATGATAGAAGACATGTTAACTGGGATGTGGGATCGGTGACTGTAGTGTCACGGCGTTTGTACCTGTTATCTGCACGAGGACCATAATCCATAACCGTACTGGGAAAGTCGAGTGTACATAATTACTTACGTTGTTTCGTCAAATAACCTCTTGGTGAAGGGAAAAGACCGAAAAGATCGTTACAATGTTTGCTCATGAGCGATAGCGATAGTGATAGTGATAGCGTACAAAGCTGCGGTAAAGAATGATATTTCAAATAACACTTCTCTATCTTCGATCTATTCGCACTTATAAATAACATTCCATTCGGCAGGTAAATTGCGTAAAAGAGAGCGATAGCAACACGAAATAGTTCACGCAATGTGTCATTTAATAGATATTATCGACGGATGCATTTCACGATTAATGAACTCTCGATTCATGGGTGCGTACTTTATACAAATACCACTTGTCGTAGAGTCGTATACGCAAACGGGTGGAAGTGCGATTTATATCGTAACGAGTTCTCCTTCGTGAGAAGAAAATACCAATCACGTTTACGATCGTATGAGTGATAAGACAAATCTCGTTTAAGTTTTGGTGTTACTCAGTGCGTATTTATAATTAATTGATGTTTGCCTCTTTACAATTACGTTAAATGCACACTCTCTTTCTTAAATGCTATTCGTATTGCAAATTCCTGACACAGCCGTAGGTAGAACGATCCAATCCGATATATCGTTTCATCCATTCCCGGACAACTGTTGCGAAGTTTGCAGTGCTACATGACTTCCTTCTTCAGTCTGATCCGTTTTATCTGCACACGAGAATTTTCAGACGCTCTGTGTATACGGATCAAAATGCTTTTAATCGTTTTCATCCTCGCAGGATTGTATTTATTCTTTCAGAGCAATTAAATCACACACATAGACACACAGTTGTGTTGGTTTAAACGCACAAATATTTTTAGCCACATGCGAATGAACATAAATATTCACGTTCATTCCTTCCAGCAGAAATCACGTGCGTAAATAACGGCGTGTCTCACCGAGTGATTGTCGTTAGTTTTGACACAGAATTTTCGATCTATCATGATATACCTCTGCATCTCTTATTAATAAGCTGTGATTACTTTAATGCGGTAGGCTAGTAACGCTCTTTTATTAATGTGAGATATACATCAGTAATAATGCCTTTTTAGTACAAAACGTTTTTTGTTTGACTTTCGTTTTATTAAAATGTTGAACTTGATGACGTTTATTTACACTTAATTTAGGAGCGGCGCACTTTATATCGTTTATAATTTACGCCATTCTATTTACAATGCGCGGTGTATAGTATATGGATGTGCAGTATGTGCGATATAATTTATAGGTCATATATTGTATATTGTATAAGATGCATTATACGAGACGTATTATAGTTAGTTCATACTGCTCCTAAATATGCATCCGGAAAGAAAGCGCTTTTCGTATCCTTCTTATATTTCAAACAAATTTTCATGTTGATATTTGATGATATCCTATGAAAAAACGAGAAATATTTTTTGTCTGTAACAAAAGCTTGTAACAATACTGTAACAAAAAGCCTAATATACTTAGATATATTACAACAAATTATATAATAATAGCGGTAGAACCGAATATAGTATTTAGTGAATACTATAAACATTATAGTACACATGAAGAATCAAGTGGACATTGTACATATTGATTTATAGCACAGTGACATATACGTAAGGTTTTTAGAAGTTTTATTGATACAAAAATTGATATACATATTATATACATATGTATCCTTAATATATACATGTGTGTGTGTGTGTGTGTGTGTGTTTGTGTGCGTATGTGTATATTGATATTAGTTAAATAATGATAGCGACAATGCATAAGTATGAACACAAAAATACTTAACACACAATCTGTGATAGGAGATGTAATGTTCAAGAAGGCGGTATATAAATGCAATGGAATAGTGGAGAAAATAAATAAATCAAATCTTGAATACACTGTACAGTATTAAATATATTTGTATATGTGTAAGTGTGTACACATACATTACTATACAATGTATTCAATATCTGATTTATTTATTTTCTTCTCTATTTATATATATTTACTACTGTACAACGTATTCAAGATTTGATTGATTCATTTTCTTTGCTATTTCATTGCATATCAAATATCAACATGAAATTAGATTGCGGAACAAGTTTAATATTTCTTAAAACGACTAATGCCACATTTACACACTGTTAAATATTCTTATCAGATTAATCGATGAATGGATTAAAATAGACATTTAAATACGCTGCTTTCATCATTGGCGTAACATTTGGAAAAAGTCACAGTCTTGAAAAATAGCTTTCCCATCATTGCAACAGGTTCTATAAAGATGCTTTATCTTATGGAACATGATGATAAATTGCACCAATAGGCGCGTTATGTGTCCCAATATTCCTTTACATTAATTTCAATTATGGATACTTATCTACGTCTTAAATATGATTAATAAAAAACTAAGAAATATAATAGCAGCCGCGAGAACCACAATGCAGTACAATTTCTTATTGGCCTTTTGATACGAATCGGCTTTCTTCAACTGTTTATAGCCTTCCTGCACTTGTACTTGCGTCTGTTCGATGTTGTAATCGATCCGGTCTAAAATAGTACCCTGATCCTCTACCATTACTGCAAGATCCTATTTTAGATATCCAAAATTATACACTTGATCACATCTTGCTATTATATAGCAATGAATAAAAAAGAAACTGTAAGTATCGAGGCAAAAGTAAGAGAATATTAATGTGCGATTTTACTTGCTGTAATATTACATCATTCATCGCAGGACGCGATGCGAAATAATATTGTACGTAACGTACCTTGAAAATATGCTTCAAATCTGCTATACTTTGAACTATACTGCCAATTTGCTCCTCCCTTTCCAACGCTAATTTCATCCTATCTTCAGGCTCCTCCAATTGTAACAAAACCGAGTCCTGTCTTCGCTCGTCTTTCGGCCAGTAATCGGCAGCAGCCTCGTTAGATTCTGCCAACCAGGAGTCTGTAGCTACATTGTCTAAGAGAGACTGGTCATCTGCGAAGAATTGGCTGTTTCTCTCTTCTCTCGACTTCACTTCTGCAAGGGGTTGTATCGCATACAAATGCAATGCAAATCATGCTGTAGTTAAACATCATCATTACAACGGTTCAAAATATTGTCCCTGGCGATTGCTTAATTCTGAAATACTTCACATTCAAAAGATTAAACCAAGTCCAAGATGCGTACGTGTTAAATAATGATTCTGTGCTGTTCTATACCGAAGACCTAACTCTTGTAAGGCAGACGAAAGAGCCATCACCGCGCTGGCAGCTAATCGACGTTCCGCAGGTTTCGTCTCGTGTCTACCAGCCGACTTGATTGTTTGTACTTGTCTATAGCCGTTGGAAAACGCACGCCCGATTTCCCGTGTAAGTTGTTCCATTTGTCTCTCTTCCTGTGGTACATTGTAAGGCATATCTCAAATCCCTCTATTTTAATTATCCTGATTTATGAAAATTATATTTAGTTAATACAATTGTTTTCTTTATAGACCATACTAACACATAATAATAGGGTTCTTCCAAGACCAGCTAGTAATGATTTATCATCTGACAATTGATTGTTTATTTAATAATCCTGAGAATTCACAAACCTGAGACGTGTCATCTAGAGTCGGCCTGGTAAGTTGCTTCGAGTGCATCTCGACCAGGCTCTCTATCTTCACTCGTAATCTGCTCAGGATGTACTGCGTCTCATCCAAGGAATCTGCCCACGCAGGTGGTGCTCCGCTGTCGGCGTTTATACCTCTCAGCTCGACACTATCGGATCCACCGGAGTCCGATTCCACCAACGCCACACGATCGGTGATGTTCTTAAAGATAAAACAGTTTCTGTAAATTTCTTTCATTTCTTGTGAAGAAAAAATTGTATATAGCTTGGTACAGTGATATAGTTTCGAATCAGCTAGGCAGATTAGACAGGTTAAGTTTGCACACACCTGTTCGGCATAGATGTGTTTAGTCTGAAGAGCATTATTTCGCATTAAAACAAACGGCTCGGTCAAATTTCTCGTGGCCATTTTTCGATAATTGTTCCCTCTATCAAAATGAGCACGTGAACACGATACAATTCATAATCGTTCCATCGTAAGTCGCGTCGGTGCAACGCACTGGCTCAGCTGTCATGTTCAAACAGCTGATCGCAACATCTGCTCCCGTTGTCTCCACTGATGTACACTCTCTGCACTTACGGTATTTTAAACGAATGGAATTTAATCGCACTTGGAAGGATGAAAAGTCAAGAATGTAGAAAAATATAGCTTAATTACATTAGGAAGAGAAAGAAAGAAAGAGAGAAATTTGTAATATTTGAAACGCAATGTATAATCAGAAAGGGTAATGTTATTTTCAAGTAGTACAACTTGCGATGGATTTTATTTTTACTAATTTTATTTTTCAGCAGACAGAACACATTATACTTCTGTACTATGATGTTTTATATTAACAAAATAATTAAACGTCCTAACTATGCAAGAACAATTGTAATATTGAAACATATGTACATGTTTAAATATAAAACATTTCATATTATCTATCATTAAATCTATTTATATAAGGAATTATATAGAAAAAGTCACATTTTATGTAGCTATTAAAAGAAAGATTAATTTCCTTAAGATCTAAAGATTATTTTTAATTTTTTAACTATGCACAATGCTAAATATCTAATATAGTGTATAAAATTAATACATGTGTAAAAATGAAACTGTTTCAGTGTATTATTTCATTTATCTTGAGATTAACATTTTGGAACTGTATATTAGTCAAAACAAATTTTCCTCATATGTAAATTAATTAGAATGGTAGTTGCAAATACATGCACTTGTAGCATTGTAACCTTAAATAGTACAATTGTACCCTATTTTCTTTGCTTGCATTATTCAATTTTAATTAGCTTTGCTTTGAATCTCAATTATTAATGGTCTGGTACCATATATATTGCTCAATATTACTTGTCTTTTGATCAATGCGAGTGCTTCTTGTCCCTTTGTATAACATTGTTTAATCTTTTCCTGATCTTGCAATATTTTGTTCTCTTTGAATTCTTGTCTTACTTTTCGCAGAGCATACATCCTGAAAAATATAAAACAGCTGATATATATATATATATTGCTTAATTTTGCCACATCAATATATAAGTATTACAAAAGTATGAGAAATGTCCTATAATTCATATTCACGGTTATACCAGAAATCAAAATTACTTTTTTTTATTTACAACATAAAGTTGCATAACTGCAAGAAAGTAGTGCCACGACAACATAAGGAAACAAAGTAATATATTCTTCAACATATATTATTATTACGAATATTACGAATTAAATATGTTAAAAAAACATCTCATTATTAATATTTAACATAAAGTTCATATTTTTGGATGCCGTTTGCTTGTTTTACCTATAATTGTACGAGTTCCATTGCTTGCTTTCTCGGATCAAGTTCCGATAAAGACTCAAGATCATATTTCGACTAGGATTCATTATCTGTAAATAACAATTCACAACTAATATGACCAGAACTATCGGCGGCTAATCTGTTGCACGTGTACGCTCGCTCACTAGTGACCACAGAATATGAGTATCATGCATATCACAGATCTGTTCTTTTCAGCTGAACTGAGTTGCACTTTCTTGCATTAGAGTGAAATAAATATATAATGGAGCATTAAAAGGAAAGGAACTGCGTTACTAGATGCCTAAAAATAACAGGTTTATAGATAAAAGATAGACAGTGTTGAAGAAAATAATCGGCTCCCAGAAGAATAAATTTAAATATGTCTTCTTATAAATAAACATCATATTTAAAAAATGGGTGCTAATAGGTCTTATTACATTACTGCTTTATAGCCGAAAGGTCGAGAAATCCTTTCTTTGGGTTTGCGTCTGCACGAGGGATGCAATAGAATTTGCATTTGTATTTGCATGAACATTACACTTACGCATAGAAGTGCTATTTCGTGCTAGAACTGCTACTCTTGCCGCATGAAGCGATTAAATTCAATTTGGGATTTACTCTTGGCTTCTGTAGACCCGATAAAAAACGATTCTAAGAATCTGTGTAGTGTTATTTAAATCACAGGTATATTATTATTATTATTATATAAATCACAGATTTATATGCAATTACATAAGTTTAAATGAAAAAGAAACGAAAGATAAGTAATAGGAAACAAGGTAAATAAACTATATTGCATATAACCTCTTTTATATTTGCAAAATAGATTGATTTCTCATTTTCTCAGTACAAATGACTTAAAACAATCTATGATTAATTTAAATTAATAATTTTATTTGTATAATAAGTAAAAAGGAGAAGATACAATATTCATAAATATATATATCTTGCAGTTTATAACATGCATATTATGTATTCGTTACACTAAACAACTTTGAGATCGGTGAAAAATGTAATAGGAAGAAACTAACAACCTGCAATAATGTGGTATGCAATTTTTGTGCATGTATATTTCATTCATCCATCAGAAAAGATTCTGTTTACAATGTATCTTTTACAGGTGTAGCAAGTATATTCACTTTAGTATGAAAGCCCTGACAACATACAGAGCAATCTCTAATGTTGCCAGTGTGAATAAAAATATCAATGAGCTGGTGCTGCTAGATCAGAAATATGTAACAGACAATTGGACAAACATTACTCCAAATGTTATCGCTAAGTTAGAGAGAAATTTGCATGTCAAACAGTATCATCCACTGTCACACTTGCGCCAGCGTATTGTAAACTATTTTTACAAACAGTTTCACAACAGGAATGGAACACCAGCTTTTAGCATCTACGATAACATATGCCCTGTAGTTACAACTAGTCAAAACTTCGATTCTCTGTTTGTGCCGAAAGATCATCCCAGTAGAAAAAAGAGCGATTGTTACTATGTAAACCAAGACACGCTGCTCAGGTCGCACACAACCGCGCATCAAGCAGAATTGATTTCAATGGGTTTGAATAATTTTCTCGTTATTGGCGATGTATATCGGCGAGATGAGATCGACAGCACACATTATCCAGTCTTTCACCAGGCTGACGCAGTCAGATTATGTACGTTGCAAGAGATATTTCATGATGTAAACGATTCCGAAGGGCTAAAATTATTCGAGCACTCAAGTATAGAAACTACTAACAAGCAAAGTTGTCATACTTTAGAAGCAGTGAAGATAATGGAGCGGGAATTGAAAAGCACTTTAATCGGTTTAGCGCAAACTATCTTTGGGAAAGGTACAGCTACATCATCCTTCATTTAATATCTTTGATAACAGTATAAATACTTTTTCAGTTTCATCAGAACAAACTGAAAATTTGGTTTAACAATATTTCTCGTTGATAGACGTGCAATGTCGGTGGGTTGATCAATACTTCCCATTCACTCATCCATCTTGGGAGTTAGAAGTATTGTTTAACGATAAATGGCTCGAGATGTTGGGTTGTGGTATCATGCGCCAAGAGATCCTGCAGAAATCTGGCGCTGTTGATCGGATCGGATGGGCGTTTGGTCTTGGCTTGGAACGCTTAGCTATGCGCTTATACAGCATACCGGACATACGATTATTTTGGAGCGAGGACATTAGTTTTATAAATCAGTTCAAAGTAGACAATCCTGACACTTCTATAGAATATAAGGTGAGATGAATTATTTCACGTATAACGTTACAATATATACAATATATAATGATTACATCTTCATATATATCGAACGAATAATTTAATCGGTTGAATATAACATATTTTTTAGCTTATAAGTATATTTCCTCCTTGTACGAACGACATAAGCTTCTGGTTACCGCAAGACGAGAGTTATTCCCCAAGTGACTTCTACGACATAGTACGGGAAATAGGTGGTGATGTCGTTGACCAAATCATTTTGAAAGACCAGTTCGTTCATCCGAAAACGAAGAAGATATCTCATTGTTACAGTATAGTGTACAGACATATGGAACGCACTTTAACTCAGAAAGAAGTCAATGAGATTCACAGTCAAGTGGAAAAAGTAATAGCTGCTAAACTTAATGTGACTGTTAGGTAGAATTAAGAATAAAATGCTTTTCTAACAAAAACTGGTTTTTTATTTAGAGAATGTGAGTTCTACGAGCTACTTATTTCATATTATTTAAACAGCGCAGCATCAGCCTCGAGCCACTATTGTTAACTTCAATGAAATTCGTTAATATACATGTAGATTGCGTCGTATGAACTGCACGAATATATCAGAGAAATCGAGAAAAGGAATATATTATTTTATTTGCGAATAAATTAATCACAAACGCGTTACATTGGCAAATAATAATTTTCTAACAGCTATTATTAATTGCGATACGTTTCATTCATATTAGAGGTAACAACGATTACAGTTTACATGTTCTACATGCTTGCATTATATACATGTATATAAAACATATTACGTAATCTGGTATTGATAGTTTATGCGAAATATATATGATTTATGATACAAATGAAAAGCTAGGACACTTTCTGAAAGATAAGGAAACAAATGTCTGGAATAGTCCTGGGATCGACTTCATCATATAACAGTGTTAGTGCAAAAATTGCCGTTTATACTTAGTTCACAAAAATCACAGTTTCATTTCTGACACTCAAATCCCATTCCTTAATCGTATTAACTTTAACAATTTTTTTCTTCTTTAAAGTAAAATGCATTGATCTCTCGTTACAAATAAAGATTATCTGAATGAGTTCCTGAATATATCAGGATACTTGAAGATTTTTACTCGATACATGAGAAATACTGTCGTGCTCAGTTAGAACATTTCTAATTAGTATTTTGCGAACGAATGATAAGCATCGAACCTATGTAAATGCCGTAATACGTGCATACAAACGCACTGAAATGGAAGATTCGAATTTGGCGTTACATTCATAATTAAATATATATAAATAAAAGAAAAAATATATAAAGAAAAAATCAGATAGAAAAAGTCATGTATTTCTTGTTTGACCTCAAGTCAGGATGTGTAGTAATATAGATAAGCTTTGCAGGAAGTATTTAACATTATATGAAGTATCGTGAAGTTGTTAGTTCCGCACGTAAAATCCAATCCGTATCCCAACGAAGTTACTCAGTGCGCAATATAATACAGGAGATTTGGAAACTTTATCGGCTCTTATTTCGCAGTATAGGCATTTCTTGTTATACCATTAGTCCTCGATAGAATTGTTACAAAAATAGTTGGTTGATATAAAACGGTGCATATAATTTGTCTTAGTCCGCTACAAACGAACTGAGCAATATTAGTTGGATTGGATTGGAACGAAAGAGAGAACATTCTGTGTGTATACATTTTTCTCTATATTACTAATACGTTACGCTGATGTTTTGTCCTCCTTTGTGTCTCTCTATACGCAGATGGCAGATAACGACGCTCTTGTGCGAGATAATTTAGGATAATTTTGTATAACTAGGAGGTGAAAACTTCTTCCTCAAAAACTTTAAGATGTACAGTGGCATGCACGAGACTAACGTTATCACCAATACTTTCCACAAGAAGTCCGTCGTTTTGATGAATTCAGCGTCTGTGTTAAAACAGATGGTAGAAAACCGTTTATTAATGAAATGAATACTTCGATCATCTCTTTTTTCTTGCGTTATTGCGAATGCGTTAGACTTACCGAAGTAATCCTTGAGGACGACCAGTGACAGCAAATAAAGCGCTAGAGAGAAGATTTCCGCGAGCATCATTATATGATGCCAAGTTCTGATTGTTAAAGCAACCATTATTAACTCCGTCAAAACAAGCGCCGAAAAACTGATGGCCACTATATGAATAAATTCGTCCTCGAACATTATAAGTGCACCATACATTATTACTCCTCCTGGAACAGAATATTATGGAGAACATATAGTACGATATATTTTACAGAGATCATGATTTACCCTGACATATGCTTATGATTTTATTTATTTTCTTCACTTTATTTTATCTACTTTATCATCATTAGACGCGATTTAGATATCATGACTCACCTTGATATATGCTTATCAAAACCCACATAAAAAATGTTTTATACGACAATGAACGACCTTTGCTTAACTCTTTGTAGAGTTCTGGGTAAGTAAGTGCTATTTTTCCGGACACATCCTTATCCAGTACTAACGAAAAGACGGGGAACATTGTATATATCGTAGCATACCTACAAAGTATTTTAACATACGATTAATTTATATGCATTGAGGTATTGAAACAGTTGTTTCTTGAGAAAGAGTCATAAGACGTCAATATAAAGAGATTGCATAAGCAACGCAATGAACAGTAAGTTTGTATTACTTACCCCACCATAAGAAAACCCTGATACAAAGCGACCGAAGATAAATAAAAGACCGCAGAGAACACTGCCTGCATAGTCGAAATGATCAAGCCACGGTGTATGACGAATTGGCTTAATGCGGCCGAGCGTTTGTAACTTCTTCTACCATGAACTAATAATAAATTAGCGAGATGACTGAACTGAGAGATTGAGAAATCCGCAGCCAATGATGCTTGTCTTCCCTCAAGACCTTCCAGACCGATTCCTGATGGTGGACATGTGATAACCGTAAGTTACAATATCGATTAAAATATCAACCTAAGTTAGATATGTGGAACTTTGCATGGATTTCCACAAGAAAATCAAATTACAAATTAAACAGACCAGCGTCCGCAGCTTGTATCATAGAGACGTCGTTGCCACCGTCGCCAACTGCTGCTGTTCTCTTTCCGGTGTGTCTCTGTATGAGACTGACGACCTCGGCTTTCTGCGTAGGGGAACATCGGCAACAGACAACGGCGGGTGATCCGCAAGCAAGTTCCAAGAACTCTTGTTCGTAATACTGCAAGCACACCTCCAGGGAATCACCGCTGATAACTAAGGCACAATCTTGCTTCTTGCGGAACGTGTTCAGTTCCAAGTGGGCGTCGGTACGAGTCACGACGGACTTGAAAACGTGCAGTCCTTGGGTACGTGAGACCAGCCGCGAGGATTTTGCTATACACGTGGCGGTCTCCAGCTTGTCACCGGTCAACATCCATATCTTGATACCGGCGTTCCTCAAAAGCTCCAATGTAGGCCTTACTCTATCTTGCAGCCTGTCCTCGACACCGGTTACGCATAACAGTTCCATTTCTCTCTCAAGGCTCTCGACTACCGCGGCGACCCTCGATACACGATCGCTCACGCTCATTCGCGCCGCGTTGTACCTGCGATTGGCACAATACGAGAAATTTATTGAAAATTAATATAATAATCACATTTTACTACATTCATTAGAAATTAAATTATTTTTTTAATTATCTTAGGTTTATCTTCAAGTGTTGTACGAATCGTTTTATGGACCACAAAGGATCTGAAGATAAACTTAAGACGATCTTAAACCTAAGATTCGGTTGTGTGTGAATCGGTGGTTTTTATATATATTGATTTAAGTAATTTCTCAATTCTTCCAGTACGTTACCTCGCTTCAAAATCAAGATACTGATCTTCAGTAAGATTCTTCTTGGCCACGACCAATGTTCTGAGACCTTCGCGCGCCATGTTGCCGCATACTTCTTCCAGCCAGTCATTGTACTGTACAATACCAGACATCACAACGTCCGCACCTTTCAGGTAAAACACGATTTCAGAGCTGGACTCCTCTCTCACGATTATTCCCATCCGCTTGGTTTCCGACGTGAAGGGGAATATCTGTAGTATCGTGTAATTCAGTATTTGACCGTTCAAAGCTTTCAACTGCATCGTGTTTAGGTCTCGTTTGATCAAAGCCAATCCCATTTCTTCCGTCCACTTCACCAGAGCCACCTCGTCCGGGCTCGAAGCCTGGTAATTACGTTTCTGTTCTGGCAGGTAGTAGTGTTGATCGGCTTCGGTTTGACTGAAATGTTAAAATCCAAATTGAAGATGACCATTTCAGCTTCCGCGATTTTCAGCAAGCGAAAAATTGCCTGTACCTCTGGATGGAACCCGTGTCTCCAGTTTCTCCCGTTTGTACGCTCACCGTATCCAGATTCGTGGATCTCATTACGTCGTCGTATACCGGGGTTACATTGTGGCAGAGCGCTAAAGCGTGCACCGCGTCGTAGATTCGGGTGTTTTCGGATCTCCGCACTTTGCCGCTATGTGCACTTGGTGCCGGTTTCACCAGAGAATTATCAGAGTTAATCGAGTAATAAGATTTCAACACCGTCGTCACCTCGTCAAACGTCTCTTGGCCGTAAGATATAGTGCCCAGGTGAAGTTTTTTGAACACCATCTTATTCTGTGTCAGCGTGCCAGTTTTGTCGCTCAGCAGGTAAGATATACGTCCGAGTTCCTCTGGGATGGTAGTTGTCCTCACGACCGTACCGACGATATCTTTGTCTCTCTGTATGCACCAAGCATAGAACACCTTGCCCATGTCGAGGTTTACTCGCAAGCTGATCGGTATGATGTATGAGAACAGCAAAACAAAACGGAACATGTAACGGTACCATGGGCCGTTGAATCCCTTCAAACACATCATTACAAGAGCGAGTCCTATTACTGCGCAAAACAGCACCTGTAGAGATATAAAGTATATATCAACATTTACACGCACACATATCGATCTTGACGCACAACTGCTATATATATGCGCAATACCTTCGTCAATTGATTGATCTCTTGGTCGAGTAAACCAACTTTTGACCTAATTGCGGAATGATTCATCAGAGATCGCGTCTCCTGACCGGTGTAAACAACGATACCGAGAGCAGATCCCGATGCTACAGCAGTGTTGGCCCATAGAGTATTGTCTACGCCCAAGCTCTCTTCACTGCTGTATCCATCATACTGCAAATATTATGATTATGTGAGACAATCTGAAAAAATATTTAGAGTAAAATGGACGAAAGCAAAATTACTCACCCTCGAAAAGGTACCGATAAAGCTGTGTATGTCCTTTTGAGGTTTCTCGACATACAAACTAGCTTTAATATCAAACAATTGAGAATTGCTTTCCAATTTTTGCGTTGCAGGCACTGCCAACCTCAATTTCCAATCCGTCTCGCCATCCAACTGATCAGTACGCACGAAACACGCGCCAGATTTCTCAGTCGTGCGTAACAATACCAAGTCAGCAGGTACCCTTTGACCCTTCTCCACTATTACCTTGTAAAAAGGAACAGAATTGTTTATGCTTCGTGTGTCAAATTCCCTTATCGGATCAATGAGAAAAGTATTTATAATAAAATTTACCAAGTCACCAACTCGCAATTTCGAACTTGGTACTAACTCTGATGTATCAAAACCCCTTACTAGTCTATAATATTTTTGTGCATTGACTTCTTTGTCTCTCTTATACCTTCTAAAGTCATCAATAGCTTCGCGGAAAATCGTTACAGTTAAAACAAAGCACAATGGTCCCCAATATGTGTATAAATACCCTATTCTTATGTCTGGTATAAATTGGGATATAGCCATAAGCAAAAAGTATAAATTCAAGAAGAATTTAAATTGCTGAAAGAGGACCTGTAAAACAACAAATATATATCGTTAATTAGATTATGTTAATAATTTCAAAGAGATTTCAAAGAGGTGGGAATGGTATTTACAGTCAGATCTTATAACACCTGAACATGTACTTGAGGCAATCTTAAATACAAAACACAACAATGAATAAGATACTAAGATCTTTCACTGAGGAAAAACATACCAAAGGCAAGAAAGTAACAACATTGTATTTTTGATTTCTTATAACATTGGTGGGGAACTTTTCATGCATAGGCTGTCCAATGTGGATAACTCTGGCTCTTAACTCCCGCTCTCTGCAGCATCTTCTCCACATCCAAGTACAACATCTGCGAGCATGAGAAACAATTCTGATCTAACAAGATTGCATATATAGATTGAACATATTTTGATAACACGCTGTCTCTCTCTCTCTCCCTCTCTTTCTCTTTCTCTCTCTCTCTCTCTCTCTCTCTCTCTCTCTCTCTCTCTCTCTCTCTCTCTCACTGGCATTCGTCTTTGCCCCTGATGTCGTATCATCCATAAAGTTAACAATGATAAAAAAATAATTACATCCCAGATTGAAATTTAAACCTGTTAACGTGTGCAACGCGATATAACCAACAATCACGAGTACAAAATCCGTTTTCATCATTGACGTCTGTCGAACGTAAACAAATGTACAAACGTCATCGTCGTCTGACACATTGATCGGACGGAACGTCGTTCACGTAACCACCGCGAGAAACTCGATCAGAAGCGCGTTATTCCAAAAAAACTCCGCGCGAAGAATTCGCGTCATCGCGAAGAACAGCGCGTTATGCGCAAAAATCGAAGCCTCGTCGGACGAGACAAGATGTACGTCACCTCGACCAGGAGCTGTAACTCCGCGGCTTAGATATTAACGGGATGTCCTCCTTGGACAGCCTAATAACGTTGCTCTGTGTCTCCATGTAGGTTATTTCCTCGTTAGAGACTGCATAAAGGATCTCCGTGATGATTTCGTTGGCGTTTCCTCGCGCTTCGTAAGAAACAACCACCGATAAGATTCTTATATCAAAAAAAAGCTACGCGAGAACCGACAATATTATGACATCACACGTCGCGATCGCGGAATATGCGCCTCCAAGGCACGTCAATTGCGGCAAACTTGTGCGATTGGTGCGCCTCGGGCAGAAGCTGCTCCAGGATTGGCTGCACCAGTCGATCCAACAGTGCGACGCCGAACGCGCTGCTTAGGCCCGGTTGCACCAACATTATTTTGGTTTTAAGTGAGACTTAAACATAAGTCTATCTTTATCTTTCTTACTAAATAAATAAAGACAGAGATATATTTAAGTCTCACTTAAAACCAAAATAATGTTGGTGCAACTGGGCCTTATTCCTGTGAAATCTCGTCAGGTTGCTTTTTGGCGCGGGAATGAGGTGCTTTGAACAATACTGATGACAGGAGATCGGTCTTCTTGCGCGAATATCTTCCTAGGAACGGCCCAGAAAAGTGGAAAAACAGCGCCGTTAAAGAGACTTAGCAACGTTAAACGCGTGACTTGACGTGGACATTGTTATAACATTCACGTGCGTAGAACTTCGCTTTCGTACCGCTTAGAAACGTAGTTTGTTTTAGGAAAAATTATCACTACTCAAGCTATAATTAAATTGATATTAAATTAAATTGTATAATTAAATTAACTTTACACTGCAGAGCTGATATCGTGTTTGACAGATCCGGAGAACAATATTACTTTCCTCCCAACCTTAACGATAAATATAATCAAAGTTATCAACAACGATAAACAGGGACAATAAAAAGGAGAGACTTGCGGGTCGATTATGAATCTTTTCCTGCAAAGTCAACATTTTCTAATCCAAAAGAAACCTAATTCGGAAACGTTCAGCTCTCACGCTAGAGAGTTCACACTAGAAGAGAAGATCATCTGCTAGGTTTCTCACATAGGGGACCTACCTAGGTGGACGAAATGTCACAGCCGTCAAACGGGGTCGAATATACTATTTCGAGCGCGCGTAACGCGTGTCTTTCGATCGACCGCGTTGACATCACGCGGGATCGAGTTCCGTCGTCCCTGTGCAGGTGCAACAACAGCAGACGGCACCGATGAGGATGTCCAGCGCGAGTCAACAAGACCAATTTCTAAGAAGCTTCACGTGCACGTCGCGGGACAGCATCACAGCTGCCCGTGTTCCGGGGGACACCCGGTAGACAGATGACAGCAGCAGTGACGCGACTCACCCGCAGAGGCAGTTCCTCAGGTACTTGGAGCAATCGCTAATGCGCCGTCGCCTCGACGTGAGGAGCCTGATGCTGTCCTCGGACGGCTGCAGCAGGTAGTCGGTCTCTTCGTCGTCCATTTCAAAGTCCCGCTCGTCGGAGTTGAGACGCAACGGCATCTCCTCCAGCCTCATGTTGACAGGAGGACTGTGAGCGACGTATATCCCCCGCTGTATCCGTCTAACTCCTTCCTGCCCGTCTCACCTATCTACCCCTCCGCCAAAGGAACAAGGTAAGGAACCGAGATGATATATCGCGCGCTCCTCCTTGCTCCTCTTATCCTGGCGCGCGGCTCAGACGCGGTTAACTGATGCGGATTAATCGCCGTCTCGCGCGTTGCGACGTCGCGGCACCACGTCCCCGGCGCATATCTTATCAGACCGCGACGAATCGGCCGGCCGCGAGCGAGAGACTACCGTGAGAATCGCAGCGTGTGTGTGTCCGTCGTCCGTTTGTGTCGTCGAACCGTTGTTGTAGCGATTCGCGACCGACACCAGCGGCTGCGGCTCGCTCGTCGTCACACAACTACGATGACGACGACGACGACGACGACGACGACGACATCAAGTGCCTCGGCTTGTTTACACGTGAGCACGCACACACCGTGAGTACGCACGACGCCGTGCGTTTGTGCATCATGGCGCTTTCGCGCGCGGTAAAGACGCGAAACGACGAGGAACGTGGGAGATCGTCGGTACCAGCCATTCTCGCGGCACCTGACGTGCTCGCGACTGTTCAAGGGTCAGAATAGGTCAACGTGGACTTCGGGGTCGCGTATCGACACGCGAGATTCCCGTTCACCGCGTCGCACGCGGCGAAGCGCCGCGCGCCATGTCGCTCGCCAGACCGTCACGTGACCGCGCTGTCTGCTGCGTTCGACTTCGATCTATTTGGCGGGCTGATTCGAACGGGCAGCGAGGAGCTCCGTTGAACCCTGTGTCTCGGTATCTTGTTAATCGTGATCTCTCTCGGTACTTTATTAATCGTCAATATTCAACAGCCCGTTAATTAGTTCCTCGCGCTGGCGTTCGTGCTTGAGGGAAATAGGGACCGTGTAAAAGGGCTCGCGAACAGCCTAATTTCCGGATAAATTTCTACGTGAGACTCTCGTCGGTAGACGGTTTGGGAGCAATGACTGAGAGGAGTGTCGACGTTTACGATTTATTTACGCTACATTGTTCGTTGCGTTTCTCCCGAACTCGCTAAGAACTCGCATCGAGCTCGATCCGATACTTGGCAGCTAGCGGCACGATCGCGTCTTCCGATGATTTATCCCGCGATCTTCCTCTGAGTCGCAATTGTTGGAAGAGCTGCTTGCACGCGACTTGCTCGTCCTTCGTCATGAAGTATACCGTCAGATCGAATCTGCTGCAAGTGCTTAATATGTCGAGAATTTCTATGATCTGCGTTACATCGTCCACCTCGGACACACAGTGCAGGCACACGTTCATCAAGTCACCGAGGAAGAACGTAGGTATCTCCACTCGAAAAATACGAGTCTGCAGGACGTGCCTGTCGTAACGGCAAAAGTTATCGTTAACCGCCAGAATAAATGGGGAGCCACGACGACGTAGAGACGACGACTGCGAAAACTTCGACTTTGACCCGATCATTTTGTCGTCTTCACGTCGCTTTGACGTCATCCTTTATCGCACCCGGACTTTGATTGATTCGTAAAGATTATCTCGATCGGTTACCTCAAACCCCACATGTAAGCGAGCCTCTCGGAGTAGTCTTCGAGCGTTCTCCAATGCCGCAGAAAGTCCTCGCACGCTTCCGAGGCTTCCGCCTTTACATCTCGCTTGTTCCCCTCGGCGCGTTTCGATTTTCTCCAAATTGCGGACGCGATCGGATGTCTGGTGCTGTTGCTCACAGGGTTCCACTGCACGCCGATCTTCGGCTTCACGTCATTACGATCGAGGGGTTTCAAGTGAGCAGCATTCACCTGCCAAATGTTATTTCACTTATCGTGAGTGACAGAGAATCCACCGAAAAGACACGAAAGACACTTCTTCGCGCGAAACGTTGCTGCGCATCGGGAATTACGTGAAGCTGAGATAATTTTTCTTACATCTTCGAGTACTACCCAGTCAGAACCGTGATTCGACGTTGGTTTGACGTTGAAATGCTCGTTGAATCAACGTTAATTCAACCCTCATCGGTATCGAATCAACGTTGTGGCTCTGACTGGATACTTCTCGGTCTGAACATTTACAAGTAACTCGGTCGAATTACCATCTGCCTGAAGTGCTCATACGTCGGCACACCTTGTTCAACCGCCCGGAGCTTGGCATCGTTTTGCAACTTGTACAATTCGTCGGCCGCGAGAGCCGCGTGAAGCTCTTCCTCCAGGCTCTTGTAGTCCATCGGAGCCCTCAACGCGCTCATCGTCGCTGTCTTTTTCTTCCTCATCGAGAAACCCTACACTCGGCATGACGGTAAAACTGTTTGTTGCTATGGAAACTCGGGGATCGATTCGATGCGCTATCGATTGGGAGATGCGTTTACTCCCTGCTTCTGCTTTATCGCGATCCTTTTATCTACCGGCAACTCGTGCAAAATTACCCAAGTCCGGCATTCGAAAACCGACCGAGCTGAGAACCGAGCAACGTTCTCAGCGACGCTGTTGGGAATAAATGAACACACACGTCGCAGGGTCGATTGCTTTGTTACTTATTCAATTTCGGGTAATAATAATTTCGCTCTCGGCCAGAACTTTCTCCTTTGACATTCTCCCTTGCCTCTTCTTCAGCAGTCTATCGTGGGTCCTCTTCATCTCGAGTATTTCCTTCATCTCCTCCTTGTCCTCCTCCTGAAATCAATATTTTATCGCTGACGGTTGCTCAACTCGGCAGGATTTATTCGTCAACATTGTGAAAGATGTTCTTTCGTACGTACACTTTGATTCAACCGGAGGACCAACGCTCGACGGCCGCCGGACATCGGCTGAGAGTAGTCCATGAGCTTCTTCAGCCTCTCGGCGGGGCTGACTCCTCTCTCCACGACCAGAACTATGCGCGCCCACTGAAACGGATGCGCGCGAGTTATACGCCGCAGAAATTCAGCAAGTTAAGCAGCGAGAGGTGGTCGCGTCCCACTTGAACTACTCGCTGACCAACAACGTACTTGTCTTTGCCATTCATTTCTGGTCTCGGCGATCTTCTGGTAAGTGTTGCCCATCATAGCAATTAGCATGTTTACGAGCAGGATCGCCACGATCGCCATGTACAACACAAACAGCAGCTGCAACGGTAATGATTATTACCGTGATGGCACACGAGCGCGTCAAACGCACTTAACGCATCTTTCGCAGGACTTGCAGTGAACGAATGAATCATTCGTATGTTTGTGTAAATCAAGCGTTAAGCCTCGCATCGTCGCTGAGACGTGTCCCACGGATCGGAGCAACGACGCGTCGCAGTTTAGCATCGCGACTATGATTGGTATGATAAACGAGGCCAAACGACGACGGTCGTGTGCCGATTCTCTCTCGGTTCAATCGCCAGCTGATATCCCTGATATAGAGCGACGACGAGGAGAAAAACAAGTATACCTTAGCCTCGGACTCGTGTTCGGTTCGCTCGAACGCGCCGTAGTAGTCGCCGAAGTTCGTCATGCTCATCAGGAACATCGCCATGATGCTCTCCATCGGCGACGGCATCGGGTTCGATACCGAATCGTCGACGCCTTCCGGGGTATTCGGGTTGTCGAACGACAGAAATATAATGTAGTACGCTGCGGACGAATTTAACCTTCAGTCTGGCCAAAGTATTCAGAGAGAATTTTATCGCAGTCAAGTACATATAAATGTAGTAAAAAATATAGGAATTTCGCAGTAAATGAATTATCGTGGAATTTTGCAGTCGAGGAACATGTCGGCGTTCTGTCTTGCTGTCTTGTTTTAGAAAAAGATTTTCCGATTTACGGTATGTTTATTATTCGAGATATAAAATCCTTGGTCCTTAGGTAGATGAAGCTCCTCAGACAAGACGAAGTCTACCGACAGACCTTTCTTGCGCTCTTCTAGAGAATATGGTAAAGAAGATTAAAACCGTATAAAGAAAAGGTAAGGTATTCTTTCTGCGCACAGCTAATGAATAGTTTCACACGTGACGAGTTCGCATGTGATACTTTCTACTTCGTCGCTCTTGGGACAGAATTACACGACCGCTATTCAGAATAGAGAAGTCCAAGTTTTGATCTGCCTCGCAGCCTAGTCGACATCTGCGTTTCGTAATGGCTCGTCATGAAACCGACGGTTATCCAATACCGGGGCAAAATTTTACCTGTCGATTCTTGACCGCCGACACTGTACTGTGGTTAAGCGATATCGACGATAAGCAATTTCCACGTGGGGAGATCTGCTATCGACAGGAAGTGTATGAACGAACAGACGCTCCATTCAAGCCGTCGTCGGCGCGATGTCACCGACGACGACGGCGAAAAGGCGAGATGGCAATAGCACACGGTGTGGTCTCTGCAGGTTGCATAATAGCGCTGTTTAACGTATCGCGCAGCCTTCTCGTACAGTTCCCGCGCGTCTCCTTCTGTGGCATTCCTCGCCGTTGTCGGGGAAAACCTTCGACGCCAATGTGTGTCAATGTCGGGTTGCAGTAGCGTAGTAAAACTGTCGATTAGGTCATATGATGTGCGCGGCGGCGCCGCCGGTGCCGTTATATTCCCGCGGCTAATTAATAATTGTTGGAGCCAATAGAATAAGGCACCGACGGCGCAAAGGAGCCGAAGATCGTCGCGGCTGTGTATGTATGCGTGAAGCTATCGCGCAAATCGATCGGCGTTTCTCGTTCATTATCGTCGTGTCGACTTCGATTATCGATGACGATAGTCGGCGACTGGGTTGTCGGTTTATTTAGAATAGAGAAGTGAAGCCTGTGTTCCGCTTGAAACAGACCTCATATCTCTAGCTAGATAGCTTTTGCTATTCGGAAGCAGAAAATCAATCACGTTGTAAAATCATGTCAAAGTGACTGGAAGATGAAGGAATCACGATGAAGAAACAAATTTGCATGGTCATTTCCTTGGCGCAAGAGCGACGAAGGAACTGAATGTGAACGACGTGCAATAACTGTCAGCTGAGACGGCGGTTAAACGTCGCTCCGCGAAATTTACGGCGGATATTACCTTGAGAGAAGCCCATGACGAAGACCAGATAGATGGACACGAATCTGAGGAGGTCGCCCATGATCATCCTGTAAATCATCACGACGAACGGACCGACCGTCTTGAAGCCTCTGCAGAAGAATAAGAAATACGGTGCCGTTGTCAGCATCACCACGACCGCCAACATGTCTTCGACTTCGTCGGCGCAGGCTAATCTCAGAAATGGAAACGAGAGTAAGATGCAGCACGAGAAGAGAAACATGACGCGCGACGGCGCTGTCATCTGAAAAGTGACACTCGCATCAGCACGTGTCACGAGTTGCGAGAAGGAATTCGAAAAGCTTTGCAGATTTGACTTCCACACGGCTGTTCGTGGCGCATCTGCGTTTTCACAGCGAGAAACGCTAAGCTAACGCTCTGCTAACTGTGACGGACTCATCTTACTAGATTCTCGACGAACATGTTGAGCCCCAAAAACCTCGCCTCCCGCAGTGCGGCTAAAATGTAGAGCACCGCGGCGATTTCCATCAGCACTTCCGCAGTCAGCCGGATCTTCGCACTTATCGTCGTTAGCTGCATCAGCCTGCATTCTTCCGTCAGATCTTCCCACCTGCATTCAGGGGATTGCTGTTTGCCGTGGAAAATTTTAACAATGTCGGAATGGAAAATACTTCACGATACGACTGGTAATTTACACGCGCGCATCCACAAATTTACGAAGCCGTCGGATATGTCGAAGTTTCTCCTGAGACTTACGCGGAAAAAGAAATTACCTTACACACGACTTTTTTACGTTTATCTTTGTCTCAACTTTTTGAGTTCCGGCTTGTTCTCGAGAATAATATGTCTAAAAATAAAAACATCTCGATTGATCTGATTGACCAATTATCAGATATTTTTGGATGTGAGTTTGCTCATCTTGAGAAAAATCGTTTTCATCTTTTCACCAATTTTCACCAATTTCTCATGACAAATCTCCCTAATTTGTCTCGCCGAGATGACTTTCCGAATTAAACTCTCGAGACACTATTTACATACGTATCTGATACCACTCTGTTAAAATAATAGCAAATTTCCAAAATAAAAAGATCGAAACTCAAAATGTCGATACAATGAGATGTTACGCAGTGATCAATTGTTAGATTTTACAAGCGTACACTCGTATGTAAATCACAACGTACCAATTGTCCTTATCGTTGGACTTCGACACCTCGATGCTGCCGATGATCGTCCCCGCGGTCGAATTCGCATCGCTCGTGACATTCTCGTTGTAAGCATCTGTCAAGTAATCTGACTCATTGTACGGACTACTGGTATACCACAGCGTACGAATGGCGGCTTCGTCAGGGGCACTCAGGATGCCCTCGTTGTCGCTCAGCGAAGGCAAAATATTCTTCAGGGCCGATGTAATGTTCGACGTCACTTGCAGCTGGATCTTCTCCAACGATTCTTGCGTCACGTTTAAGGACGATTTGAGGTTCGAGGCAAAAGCCGCGGCGAGGCTGTTCGTGACGAGGTTCGACAGGTCCGAGCTTTGGAACAACCTAAGAATCTCCATCGCCGTTGCGTTCGATGAATTCGTTCTCGTATCGTTCGCATTTTCGGTCTCCTGCGGCAACGGGCCCGGGCGAAGAGTGAAGCTGATCAGCGACAGCACGAAGTAGAAGCAGAAGAGGAAGAATTGACGGTAGAATCTGAAAGATTTCTTAGCATACAATAACATTCAATCTATTCATAGCTATTGCTAAGATGAAAATTTGAGACAAGAGATAATGTTCCTTTGTACGTACCGAGACTTAACGAAAGTGTTCCACTTGGCGTTCAGAAGGTCGACTAACATACCGTCCATCAATTCTAGATGCTCGTCTTTTTCCTGAAAACGCCGTAGTCATCGAATCAAGCTCGTCGACTTGAGTTTAACCAACGAAACGATCCGCTTACCCCAAAAACAACCAAATTCAGGGCGGAGTTCTTGTTGATAGTCCCGATGTTAATATCGATCGTGTCTATTTGCGACAACGGGTAAGCTGCGCAAGTTATGCTACCGATCTGCCAGTATATCTCTCTCTCGATGTTCAGAATGTGAAAGAACATCTCGATCTTGGCCAGCTTTGCTGACAACGTCAGCGGAGTCAGGTGTTGGACGTTTCTTATGGCCAACGAGGCTCCCACTTCGTACGCCATGTCGAACGTAGTCTATAAAATTAAAGCGCAGGTCGCATACGCGAAGAAAACTGCAGGTATAATGCTCTCAATATTTTTTATCAGCGTCAATCGTATGTCGTCAATATTACGTTCGTTCTGATCGTCAAAGTGATCGATCCTTCGAAATCGGATGATTCGCAGCAAAAACCGAGGAAGAGCGCGCTGCGCGTTACCACTCACCAGCTTCTCATATATCACCAACATGTGCAAAACCGTGTTGCCGTTGGTGTCCTGCTTGTCAGGATCCGCGCCTCTGGCGAGCATAAGCCTGTAGCACTCCTCCTGGCCCAGACACGCGGCGAAGCTCAACGGGTATTCTCCCCAGTACACGTATCTGCGGGCATAATTGTAAAGCAAATCGCGCCGAGGACTTTCATCGAATTATCTCGCGTGGAACCGCTTTACGTTGCTGATTGAGCGATCAACGGAATCACGGGGCTGACGGGGCTCATTGAGACCTCTGATGGACGAGCCCGTTCATTTATGATCAACGTCAGCGAATTTAGCAAGCGGCTCATGTTCATGTTCGCGAAAGCGCGCGACGCGACGATTCAACACGGATTGAATAGTCTCGGCGTGGGATGATGGAAAACGCGTCGTACCCGCTGTAATTGGTCTCCGGTGCAACGCACACCCACTCGTGGTCCAGACTATCAACCCTTGACGCTTTCTGATCCTCCGGACACATGAAGTTACCGAAGCACCTCTCGTGAACATCCGCACCGCTGTCTAGAAGATACTTCACCATCGCTGGGTCCTCGTTTACGATCGCGATGTGCAGCACGTTCTCTCCTGGAAACGGATTGTCACAAAGCCAAGGCCAAGGAATAATCAGCGAGCAGGTGCACGCTCTCGTTAGGCGTCTAGTGACGATTCTGCCGAAGGCTCACCGTAGTATTCGTCGCTTATGTAAATGTCGTTTATGAGATTCGGATAGAAGCGTAGCAATCGTTTCGCCAGATCCGCGTGGAGAGCAGTGGCATTTAACATGCACAAGTGCAGGATAGTTTCACCGACAGCGCCTCTCTCGCTCAGGCTCCAGCAGACCAGTCTGTATTTGCTTTTGTCTAGCGGGAAGTAGCGATATTTTACTCGTCGATCGAATCACCGTGTGGTATAACTTGTAACTTGTAATCTTGCGAATAAGAATTCTGAGATCTCGACAATTAAGGCGAGTAGCAAATTTTCAGCAGCGTTCATCAAAAAAGCCGCCTGTCGCAAATTTACAATTTATCGAACAAAATTATCTTTCTGGGCACTTATTTACACTCTGTTTAAGTGACAGATGTTGAAGCGAAATTAAAATGAATATATACGAGAAATATCATAAATATAAAAATATTTATTTTTCATTTCTCTTTCATTTCTCAATGATTTATTTGTGCACCGGTGGATTGTGCACAGTGTAATAGGGATAGATATAAATATCGAGATTTTTATCACAACTGCAAAAGAAAATTTCCCGACTCGCATTCGTACTACCTATTTTAGTCTCGTCAACATCTTCATCACCCATGTCCTTATCTATGTCGTAATCCGCCGGATTTTCCATGGCTTTCAAAGGTGCCAGCTGCATGATGTGAAGAAGAAATTCCGTTTAGAATTATAATATTGAATCTGAAAGAAACGAGGGACCGATCCAGGGTACCATTTTATGTCGCGGACGATCTTTGTTTCTTAGAAGAACCAGTTTGTCCACGGGTATCCACTTGCCCTTTCCTTTGTTGTACAGGTAGGGCTCGACCTTTGTTCTCACCGCGTGATCCAACTCTGCGAACTGCTTAGTTTGCGCTGCTCTCTTCATCATGTCTACGAACAACCCACCGCCTGCAATTTGGACAAATAAATACTCGTATACTGGTCATTTATGTCTCAGTAACGTCCCATTAGCGAGAAGTCATTAAAGCAAAGTCGCGGCAGCGATGTGTAAAAACGAGTCACAAAATCTTAGAAAAGAGAAAGAAGGAACTCGAAATTCCAATATCTAAGTCTACCGGGCATACTTTCTCCGAAATAATCTCTTTTTTAATTCTCCCCTGGTAGAAGCGCTTTTGAAATCAAACTTCCCAGATACTTCCGTCCGTTATCTTTCCATAAGAATAATGTTAAAATCCAAAACACACAAGAAACATCAACTTCACTTCAGAAGGGTTAAACGAAATATTAATGGCTTTCGCGAGCGAGGAAGCCTCCGTTGAGAGATCGAGCGAATTCCCAAAGCCAGACGTCATACATCGGAGAAGCCCGGCGACGAGGATTCGTAGTCGCGCGAGCGTCATCGCGCGCGTGCTGTATTAAAATTAAATCGCGAACACGGCACGTGGACTCGTTGCGTCATTCGCGACTGCAAGTATTTGGATCGTCGAGTGCTCGAGTGCTCGGACTGCCTAGCCGGGCGTTAGCACTTCAATCGTACTCCGGAATCCTAAATGCAGTGACTCACGGACAATAATACGGTCGACTGAGGAGCAGAGCGGAAGAGGAGCAAGAGGAGGAGGAGGAGGAGGAGGAAGAGGAGGAGGAGGAGGAGGAGAAGGAGCAGGAGGAGAAGGAGAAGGTGGTCCATCCGCGTAATGGATCGCCGTTGGGTTCTGACTCTCAGTTCGATTAACGTTAATTCCGCGCGGCGCATCGCGCCTGTGACAGCATTCCTATTTTCGCATTCGATCGAAAAGTGCGCCCGCCAACGCGACTAAAAACAACCGCAGCCCCGCGTTACGCACAGTCACGTTGCGACGTAATCCGTCAATTAGACGCAACGTGACAACTCGTGCGTGATGTCAGGCGGCACGCAGATGCTTGCGAGAGGAATCCTTCACGAGACTGGCCGAAAATCGCCGGCCAGGCGCCTCTCTCTCTCTCTCTCTCTCTCTCCTCCCTTTTCTTTTTTTACTTCCTCCTTACGCCGTTGCGCAATCGCTTGTTGTCGCAATGACTATTCCCCAAGTCGATTGCGATTTGATAACGATTCGATACATATCGCAATCGGGACGGGATGTCTTGGAATGAAGTCGCGTTCGATCGATCAGAAGCTGCAGCTTGTTGCTTTTGAATTTGAACGTCGCAGGCCATCTGACGTTCCATTAATCGCGAACGATGTTGTCCAATCAATCGTTAATAAGCCTGCGCGGCTTTCTGCTGCTCTTTGCAATCCAATAAACCGCGATTCACTCGCACTGACCAGACGAGAACCCGACGCCGGATTTTGTCGAGTTCAACAAAAACGAGAATTGAGTCAAGTGCATCTCTACGGTTTGAAAATCGCGAATCGTCCACTCACGTTCGAACCTTCACGCGTTATAAATTGTTTTCAAACTGCAATGATGAACAGCGGAAACGTATGTTGCATATCTAAAAAAGAAATCTTTCGACGCAACTTGCATGAAAAAAAGAACAGAGAAAGAGGAGGAGAATAATTAAGAGAAAGGAAGAGGAAGAAATGTGTAACATTCCCGAACCATTTTGTTGTTAACACGTTTTATAGCATTGTCGACCGTGCGCTCGTCGGGGGACAAATCCGTCGCACCTTCGATCTGAACGGCACGTAGCAGTACCTACAACGCCATCTTGCACTCTCTGGTGCAAATGTTGGACACACAACGAGGCAATCGCTGGCGCAAGCTGCGGGCAGCGACCGTGGCTAGCGTCAGTAGTTAGACGTGGCACATCGTGGATCGACGCAGGTCATGGCGCAGTGGAAGCAGGAAGCAATATTGAACCTCATTAACGCGTACCGCTCGCGAAGATTCCTCTGGGATCACACGACGTCCGAGTACAACGATCGGAACAAAAGGTTCGAGGCATGGAAGGAAATCGCCGACGAGGTGAGATCTCTCACACGCATTCTCTCACACGCTTACACGGGATACAACGCGACTCGTCGCCGAGAGAACTTCTGCGAATTTCTGCGTCCCTTGCCTAAAATGCCCTGTAAGTAATAACAATGCTGACGTTGGTGATGACAGTATACAAATAATTTTATCGAGCGCGTGTAGAAGACACACATTACGTGACGCACACGAACAACGGACGTTATGCGGCAAGAGCGGGACGCGACCGAGAGACAAGCGACGCAGCGAGATGCAGCTGCTAAGCCTGCCTTGTTTGGCGGTTGGGGCAGGCAATATATACGCGATGGAGGGAAGTAACGTTTTACCGACGATGGTAACGAAAGTGACTGTTGCTTGGCTCTGTGGAATATACGTGCGCGCGTGAAGTGGACGACAGGGAAGTGTGTTCCGAACGAAGAGACGAAAAAAGATTCGATGACGCTTCCCCTCCTAACTTGTCGTAACGGTGACGGTAACGAGAACTTTTCGAAGCTGCATTGTGTGAATTACAATGACTGCCGAGGATGGATCGATATATTTCTGTGTGCAAAGAAAAAAAGTAACTTTCCGACTTTCGTGTTTTGTTATCGCAGGCGTCTTCTTCGTTACGCGTGACACATCCGTGAGCAACATGCGCTATAGCGCTTGCGCGCGCTTTGCCAGGGAAACACTCGGCCGCGGCGAAAAGTACTTGGGCGAGTGTATTCTAGACCAAGTACGACGGCACGTCCAATATTTGCGCAAGTTCTTGCGCAACGACGTGCACCAAGCGCGCGCGCGCGCGCGCGGAAGCGCTTATTGCGGTGCAGAATGTGAAGTAATGTTACTTCACAGGAGCGCATTCGCGCGCGGACAGCGCGCGCGTGCGTAAATCTATTATTAGTTTGTTTACGTTGGCCGCGCGCATTTGCTTCACACGAAAACACCTGACGTTAATTGAATTGTAATTTATAATTCGATTCGTATAGTTACAATCCTCGTCATCGACATGCGGCGTTCTCTCTCTCTCTCTCTCTCTCTCTCTCTCTCTCTCTTTTCTTTCGTTTTTCTCGTTTTGCCTTTCCTTCCTTCCTTCCTTCCTTCCTTCCTTCCTTCCTTACTTAAATCGAGTCGAGGGAGACGCAGACTCCTTATCGCGCGTGGCATGTTACACGCAGGTCGGCTTCGACGTGCTGACGGTGGAGAGAAAACTGAAGAGCCTGAAAACTCATTTCATGTCGGTTCACAAAGCGTACGCGAAGAGGCGGCTCAAGGCCGATTTGAATTCTGACATCGCCGCCAAGCCCAAGTGGTTCGCTTACGAGGCCATGACTTTTCTGATTAAAGGACTCGCGCCGCGAGTTAACCGCGAGGCAGCAAACGCGAAGAAGCAGGTGCGTCCTTTCTCACAAAGAGGCTGTTAATAGCAAGCTATTGTCACTTGTATCACCGCGTACCGGTGTACATTGTGTAGCTTGATCTAATTAACAGTCACGATGTAATGTTACTGCTATAGCGATTAATGACAAAAAAATAATATAACAATGATAACGTTACAAGTTTCGTAATAATATTACAAAAAGAATCGCAACAAAACGAATATAACAAAAATTCTTTTTCTTCTTTTTCTTACTTTTTCCCCTATTTATTGTGTGAGAATTTTCTTACTCGTTATACTCGTATTGTCTCACCAAGCTACTGTACACCAAAGGGATCAAACCCGTATTAATTATTAATAAATAAATAAATTAATTAATAAACAGAATACAAGAAGAAATAATGTTACGAAAGAAAATCTTGTAATATATGCATGCTCCTAATTATTTATTGCAAAAGTAATGTATAATACTAGTATATATTAGTATGATAACAAAAAATATATCTTTGGAAGTTACAATCGATATCTTTCTCTTAGGTTTCTGTGCCTCTCCCTGATTGGAAACCGCAGGTACGTCTTTGTGCTTATCGCATTATAGTGGGGTCAATATTATAGATTATAAGTTGTTGACTATATAGCGATTCCGCGTGCGTTAATATCACGTCATATTCCACAAAGTATCTCAAGACAGAGTGTCTCAACCCTGTTCGTCATATGTTATCCTGTTTTGCATGTCACATCGCCGAATTTCAGTTTACAACCCGCTCTGTGGGACGCACGATCCTCGGTGGCGATGTCACGATTTTTCTTCCACGATTTCAGGAAATTCCGTTAGGTCGTGACGAATTCACGATTTTTGCCGAGCACGTCGCCATCCGGCTGAAAAACATCACGGACGTGCGCGCGAGGCTGGTCGCGCAGCATCAGATAAACAACATCCTGTTCGAGGCAGAGATTGGAAAGTATAACATGCACACGTACAGTACGTCGATGATGGAGAACCTGGCCGAGCCCTCGACGTCCCACGAGGAGAAAATGATCATTCCCGAAGCGGTCTAATTTAACATGCTGACTACCGACTACATGTTACATCTCTCTGAGCTGACGCGCGCGCTAGGAGAATTTTCTATTCCGCGTCGACTCAACTCGCACTTTTCCCTGCGAGAATGAACTCTTATCTCACATATGACATTCGCTGAATTACACATGTAATTTCTAAAATGGCGATTCCCGAGAGAAGAGCAGTGAGTGTGTTAATCCGGGCTCCCTCGTGAGGGCGCAACAACCATTCTCCGTCTCTTCCTCTCGGGTCTTCGTTAAGTTCGTGTATGCCGAACGGTCCTCGGCTCGCGTCGCTCGTATATACTTCATTCGGTTTTACAGCGCGAACGTTACGACGACAATAATTCCTCGTTACTTGTCGGTATGATTATACGACGAAAGTTACGACGAAAGTCCGCGACGACTCGGTCCGCCAAAGGCCGAAGGAGCGTTTCGCGTGTTGGCTGAATGCGCTCGGCCTGGCCAATGGCTCTATTTATGTGCCTTACGTTTTGCCGGCGTGTCATATCCTTCCTCGTTACAACCGCGAAAGCCGCATCAAAAGCCAGCTTTTGACGGGCGCAGCCAACATGCTGACAACACGAAACGCTCGTCAGAAATGTTTCGACGGCGACCATGGCGGTGTGTGCCATTTTCAGATATTTCAGACGCTCGCTTCGCTCGCGCTCGTTGTGTCGTCCGCTTTCGCGAATGAGTGTGCGAATTGAAGCGGAACGTCGGCGCAAATTAACGACAAATTCAAAATTCAGCCGTCACCGTCAGACGTCACCGATGAGGAATTGCTGTACGCCGGAAAGATGACCGCCGCGGCTGTCGCAGTGAGCGCTACGTTTTCAAAACGTAGACGCAGATTTGGTGAGATTACTATTCGTGACGTCGGCAGCTTTGCAATTCCTTTTCTGATAATCGTTCAGACCTTAATCGTCGACTTGCGCGATGAATAAACACGTAGTTGGCCACGAGAAGTACCCGACGAAAGTATGCTCTCGGTGTTGAAATATTTTTACCAACTGATATCTGCATTGACTTTTTGACTGTATTGACTTTTGTACCTTTTCGTTTTACCTCGAAACAATGTGTGATGGGAGTGAGCACTTTATCGAAAGGCGTTTGCGTGACACATGTGGCGGTGGTCTTTGACAAAGAACTGTTATACCAAAAAAGCGTGTGATTCTTATAGGTCAGCTCTTCACACATATCTCTCTTTTATTTTTTTTAATGACATTTTAACAACATTTGTCCATATTTCATTGAATCAACTGCGACGATTTGTCTGTGCGATTGATTGTGGGAATCACAATAAACTAAACTGAAGCACATTATGACGCAAGTGGGTCGTTCAATTATTTCACTCACCTTTCAGATCGACCAACTTATAAAGCATGATGGACGACGTGTCCGTCTGCTTTTTCACGCCGCTCGTGACGTTGCTCTCGGTATTGCCCATCTTCCCGTTTTATTCTCGCCCCGCTCGGACGTATAATATCAATGTTTATGTTTGCACAGCCGAGGGAATTTTTCACGCATCGCGAGCCCGACTGATGCCCGTTGAAATTTAGGAGCGCGTTTGCAGAAGTTCGGTTGCCATAGGATACCATAGACGATTATCGATTAAGCAAACAAACACACGGTTCGGCTCGAGACTCGCGTCCGACCGATTCAATTTGCGCGGGTCGGCGTTTCGTTATTTCTCTTCCTATTAATCGCTCGCCGAACGCTATACGCGCGGTGTTCTCTTATCACGAGCTAGGGATTAGCGCGGCCGGAATTCACCTCGAAATAAAGAACCGCAGGTCAGTCCGCAAATTCGGAGACGGAAGGTGTTAATTGCGTGGCGTGTTAAGTGGATTCGGTAGGAAATCCTGTTCTCTCGCGTGGTTAATAAGATCCCGCGCCGGAATCCGCAGAGCCAAAATTCTCGTGTAATCTCGTTCTGTGATAGTACAAACGGTCTCTTATCGCAGCGCCGATGACTCACCGCATCCACTAGAACTGTACAACCTGTATCGAAAGAACGGAGAAAACAAGATGCAAGAAACGAAAGAAACCTAAGCATCAGCATTTTCATAATCACTCAAGAGTGTTTCACTTATCGCGCTATTGTTACGCCGAGCGTCAACTCGCGCGAGCACACGCGTGCGACCTTTCTCCAGCACGTTCCATTCTCCAATAGAAAAAAAAGAGAGCAGTATGAATTAAGGTTGACAGATTTATAAGTCACGGCAAGAATCATTTGTCCCGTGTCGTCGCGCGGGTCATCGCGATCGTTCTCGTATAATTGATCGGTATCAGGGAACGCAATGTTTATGAGAGAGAAAGAGAGAGAGAGAGAGAGAGAGAGAGGGGATGGACGTCTCGGCTCTACAATAATATAAAGATGTTACATCGTTTGGACGCGCCTTAAATCCTCCGTGTCATAATACAGAGACTTTGATAACTCGAAGTGGACGTACAGACGCGTGGTTAGAAAATATTGTAAAATAATTCACGAATGTTCTCATTAACTGAAAATATCCACACGGTGGATGCGACTATTGCGTGTGAAAAGTCTGTCGGACGAACGTTCGACGTTTGTAGCGCGAATTCTGTCGCGGTGAAAAGACCGGACGAATAATTCACGCGCATACCTAAGCAATGACCGCGCTTTAATTTAGAACGGAATATTTTTCGGCTGCAATACCGCAATTGATCATGGGCTGTTAAGCGGTTATAAATACGCTTATGACCGTAGCCGCATTTACACTGGTACTGAGAACCGGCTGCAAGCGTACGCACGCACATAATACCTTGATCTCGCCCGTGCGAGCAGGAAATTAGATTCTATTATTGCGCCGACGGTCTAGGACAGTTTGCGAGCGGGTTTTTGCTCTGGTCCAAACGTTCTGTCGAACAGCTCGAACTTTGACCAACGGCCAACGATACTCGCTGTTTTATAAACGTCCAGAGAGAGAGAGAGAGAGAGAGAGAGAGAGAGAGATGAGAAAGCTTTAAATAATAATCCTTGTATATAAAAAATGGATAACATTCTTTCCATGCGAGAAATATCATTTGTAAAAATGTTTAATATTTGACTGAAGATATTTGCATTTTTTTCGCGATTATTTAAAAAAAGATTTTGTCTTATAAAATTTTTGTACAAAACTCAGAAAAAAGGGAGAGAGTATGATTTATTGTAAAAAATTAGTATGAATTAAAAACAAAAATTTCACCCAGGAGGAACGCCTCGTGGGCAGGCCCCGGAGGGATTCGAACCCTCGATCTCCTGTTTACTAGACAGGCGCTTTAACCAACTAAGCCACGGCGCCTGAATGCTTGTACCTTCTTAACTAGGAAACATCTGTTTCACTATAATATATTTGTCAAAAATATATATAGTTTCATCATTATAAAAAAATTCTTATTTACGAATGAATAAAATATCCGATAATTTGCCGTAGAAAAAAATCCATTGTCTTGTTATCACGTTCAATGAAATTGGCAACGAACGAAAATTGAGAAGAGAAAAAGAGAAAACACTAGAAACCATATATATCTTGAAGAAATTTAAATACGATCAAATGCAAATTACGTTTCGTGAGAGAAGAGAGTCGCATGAACGCGCGTTCGAAACAAACGCGGTAAATCGATAAACTCGCAGTAATCTTCCCGGTAAGAACGTTATTATCCGCATGACGATCGTGTATATGTAACGCAGTCACAAAAAATTTATGGATACTTAAAAAACGAGCGTCGTGTCCTCGTACGCGCGACCCACATTTTCAGACGTTAAATTAACTTGCAACGCGGGAAGAAGGGAGAGAAAAAAAGAGACATAAGACGAGCGAGATCTATTTGTGAGATCGGGAAATATATGGACGCGTCGCTCTCGCGTGCGAACGTTGCAGTTACTCCGCCCGCAGCTCCAGAACCAGCGCGGCATAGCGTAATCAAAGTGAAATATAGGTATACGAATGTAAATAAACGACCGACGTCGAGACGAAATGAAAATTTGAAGTCTCGTTAGAACTTCCAACATGAGGAAACACGCGTAACACGAAAAGAGTCTCTAATCACTCGGTTCCACGTACCGGCGATTCTTGACTCGCATCGTCATTCCGACGGATTCAAACCTCAACACGTCGCGCGGATTGTGTCGGAGAGAAAGAAGGGAACGCCGTTCGCTTTTGACGATACTTCCGCGAAGAGATGCGACGTGAAAAAGATCCCATCCCGAAGTTGACGACGCGCGTCCCGTTTATCGATAATCGTGGCATTGAATTCGATTCACGAGGAAGTTTTTTATTTACGTTTTTCGTAATCTCACGATCTTATCTCATTAGATAATTAACGGAGATAAGAGGTCGATATACTTTCTCGCGCTTCAATTAAAACGTGAAATAATCACCATGCCTGATTATGTGATGCTCAAGTATTCTGGCTATATTTCTGAATAATGCGAGTGAACGTCTGGTCGGTGTGCTAAAATAATCAGTATCGCATTTTATCGTCGATAAATCGAGCAATACAAGTTTTAAATGACGAATTTTAAATTGAGCACAGTATATAACATAATGTAGGTGCTAGAAGAGATGGTTACCAACAAGTGGCTCGTTGGTCTAGGGGTATGATTCTCGCTTAGGGTGCGAGAGGTCCCGGGTTCAAATCCCGGACGAGCCCTTTCTTTTTTTTTCGCCTGGTAATATTAATTATCGCTGGAAATTTTCCATTCGCGATAATAAAGCATAGGGAAAAAGAATTTCCCTTCTTTTTGCGATATGCTGTTCTATCGCGATACACATACACACACGTACAGACATGCGTATTCAGTATTGCGTGCTTGACTGCGCATGGATAAAAGTTGCGTAGTTAAATGTCACGATCACAATATGTCATAAACGACAGACTTTATACGGCCGTTTATTGAGATTCAGCGAGATGCAAAATGTCTCGGCGTAGTTGTCTCGTCAAATTGCATCATTAACGATCGCCTCGGGACAATTTCCATGGATTAACATCTTCCTTCTTCCATTCAATGTCGTTCCGAAACAATGAATAATTAAGGCCGGCCAGTCAGTCGTTATAAATAACTACGTGCGCATAACGTCGATACAGTCGTTCATCACGGCTTGTTTGCGGATCATTGCTAAATTAATTCTCAATCGGCTTCCACGGAATGCGTGAATCCCGCACACGTGCCAAGCCGTTCAATGGATCTTACGGTACGGTAGATCCCGATTTTCTTGCGATCTCTCATCACGATCTCTCGTCATGGAGAATCACCTTTTGCAAGAATGCGGATGATTCGTCGTGACTGAAACTCATCGCTAGATTAAAAACGATCGATTTGCTCGTTATTTATCTGACGGGCTGCTCGTTCGCCGGCATTCTCCGTGAATTCGTCATCGCAATTAAAATCGCCGTGCATATTACCCGCCCGGCGGGTTATCGTAATCATTTGTCGTAATGACAACCGTGCAAATTCGATAAGCGCGCTGATATTTCGTATGCTGCGCCATGCGAACGGCACGAGGGCCTCGGCACAACGTGAGCACTTATATTAAGGAAATTACGTAAACGTGTCGCTTTGAAATAACTCGAATCAAAGAGATATCGAGTAGAGAAAGGCATCTTGTCGAGACGTTTAATTCGCTGCGCAAAAGCGTGTGTTCTTTTCACTTCTCTCTCTCTTTTTTTTTTTCGTTCGGACAAGTCGGAATGAAAACTGAAACAGAAAGATGTCGTGAGATAAAAATAACGATACGTAATTGATTTATTGATTCGTGCGTGTGAGAAACGATTTCTCTCGATACAATGCAAAATGTCTGATTTCATAGCCGATTTTACAAAGGAGAAAGATACAAAATTGAGAAAATAGACAAAATAAAGAAAACAGATAAAATAAAACGAGAGCAGTGGTAAGAACGCAATAACGATGCAAAAAAGTAAAACAACAAATCGTGGATTAGTTGAGTTCCTTGTAACAGAAGTTTGTCCAGATGGGAAGTCGCCTAACGCGAGTATGTAATAATTCTCTCCTCGAGTAACTCGATCGCGCGATGTTCTCAGTCAACGCGACCTCGCGGAGTGCCTGTTACGACGAAGAGAGTCGTAACTTTCGATATCTCGGCGCCCGCCAATTCCGAGCCACCCTCGCGATGATATCACTCCGCTGAGAGAGATAGTTTGTTGGTTCTTCTCCGCGGAGAATGCGAGCTCTCCCGGCGTTGAATGGGTTGCAGGTTCGTCCTCAGCTGGAACGAACGATCACTCTCTCTCTCTCTCTCTCTCTCTCTCTCTCTCTCTCTCTCTCTCTCTCTCTCTCTCTCTTGCCCGCGCGTCCCGGCAATGACGAATTTGGGCCGGAAGTGCTCGCGAGAAGATCCGGCCGACAGAATTCGACGCAATCAGAATCGGGGCTCTATATATGCGTGAAATAGGATTTCGCGGGCACTTATCATCTCGCCGTGGCTGCTTCAGTTCGACTCGCGCTCCGGGCCCGGCAGCAGCTCCGCGGAATTTTTCGCTGGCGAATCGGCCCGAGAGGAGCGCCGGAGCGGCACTCTCATCGCGCGCGGCGCCGCTGCGATCGAGTAAGTAATTCTTTATCGCTAATTATCATCTGACTCGCGCGGATCGCGCGGGATTAATGTCGAAGTCGAAGACACGTTGTGTATCAACATATCTTTATATAGAAGTGCCCGATGGCACTTAGAGCTGCCTGCATTAGCTCTAGAAATAGGTTTAGAGATGGCCTCTCTCACGCTCACGCGTCGAGAGACTGCTCGGCCCGTTTGTGTCCGCCGCGGGAAACAAAGGTTGTGAAAAATCAGTTTTCCCATTCTTTTTAAGCGAAGCCTTCCCTGAGATGAACGTTTCGCTATTTGATTACTGAAATGTTGCTTCCTGATTTCCTTCGGAACAGAAAAGGTTATCGCTCATGACGATTTCCTTTTCCTTTTTTCCTCCTTTTGATCGCACGTCTGCACATCGCCGGGAAATATTTGCAGCGCGCCGTCGCAATCCTAGCGAAAAGAACGAGGATCGCGCGAGCTCTCCGCGTGCCGCCGTCACGATCGGCGGCTTCGAAGCTTGTTCCGAGTTTACCTTCCCGCCTTCTTTTGCGCCCGTCATCGCGCGCGCCTTCGTCATCCCGGCGATGACGAAGGGGAACGACGGAAGATGCGGCGGGCAAGGAGATCCGGTGGGTGGACCACGCGATCGTCTCGCACGGCATTCGGTCGCGCTGCTGCCGTCGCTCTCGTGGCGGCTCGTTCGAACCGAATTGTGATACCGAGACTTAGTTTAGCTTGCGTTTACCTCTCGTCTCCGCTCGGGTCAGTTAGGCTCGCGCTTTCAAGCCGCCAGCACCGTGTGTTCTCTTTTTCTCTCTCTCTTCTCTGTCTGTCTGTCTGTCTGTCTGTCTCCCTCTTTCTCTCTCTCTCTCTCTCTCTCTCTCTCTCTCTCTGTCTCTCTCCTTTTCTCTCTTCCTCTGTCCGTCCCGTAATCGCTCTCTCGTGTAATTCGCCTACATCCCTCTACGTTGACCGCGTTTTTCGCGGATTTTCTCGGTATTTTTCCCTCTCCTACCTTGCTCGCGGTGCGATCAGTTTCCGGCTGCTTCGAGGCACATGCGATCCGACGCTCGTCGAAGAAGATAGTCCTCGATTTGGACCCGACCGAGGCTCACCGTTTTCGAGTAAGTGCTGTGCAATCTTCGACTTTTGAACAGTGCGTCGTAGGACGACCGATTTTCGCGGATTCGTCGAAAGTGAGCGCGATTGCGGGATGTGACAGGTCGCTCGAGTTTGTCAGAGCTGCGCGGGTAACTGGTAGCCTCCTTTCTTTTCGTGAGTTATGGTGTAAATCCTTCGTGACGGCGCTGAGAGAGTTATAAATTGTTACTCCTTTTTATCTGGAAATTTGCTCCGATATAATAAAACTGTGTTTAGACAACGATAATTGAATACCATCGCATGTGAAACTCCAAGGTGCGAAATTTATTACGTTGAAAATGTCATCCGCTAGAGATTAATTAGTTTTTCCGTCAGATGGATCGGTATTAAATGAATTTTTGTCGAGCGGAGGAATGTATTTTAGGCGAGAGAACTTGGATAACTAACGAGTTGATGCCTAATTGCAACTCTTATCTCGCTCACATTCACTGACGAACGTTACTTTCTATCTTGCGACTGGTGAGAAACGAGAGTCACCATTATTTGAATATTTTATCGAATCGCTATCAGGTGCCAATTCCGTCCACAAATATGCCGCGAAAGAAATACAGAAAAATACGAGTAATGGAAATATTTCGCTTCTTCTCTTCGTGGAACTCTTCGTCGCTTCATGCGGTTTGCCGAAATAGACGAGAGTTCGCGTAATGTGACGTGTACGACGAACACTTGTAATGACAAAACGTTTCATCTTGTCCCGTCGCTCAAATTGCTCAAAGAATTCTCGGCTAATCGTTAAATGTCGTTTCAAAATGTTTCGGAATGACAAGACAGATAAGAGCAAAAAATTTCAATCTGGGATCCAACGAACAGATTTCGCGCAGATTTCAACACTCTCGTTGACAATAGATAATCGCGTAATCCATTTTGATCGAGCAATTTGACTGGATCTTTTTCCGTTCAATCGAGAGATCTCAAACGAAAGCGCCAGCGATGAAGTCAACGACGAGAGAAAGACGAGAGACGTACGTGTGTACTGCGAGAATTATCCGCCGGCGAACTTGGATGAACGCGCAACTTTGATACCGATATCGATGTCGATGTCACGACCTGACCGTCGCTAATTGACGCTTATGCGTAAGTGGCGATCTGTCTTTATCGAATCGCTATTCGCAAATTGTGTCAACGTAGGCGACGCTTCGGTTCTCTCACGGACGATTTTCCGCGGCGCGGTGACAAACAGCGAATAGACGTCGGGAGCGAGAATGAATTATCTCCGCGAGATCCCTTCGCGACTCGCACTCGCCCTTATCAATCTCTCTTTTATCGTGCTTCGCGAGAGAAGAGAGCCTCGTCAGGCCTCACTCTCGGCACAATACAAGAGCGCGAGCGCGGATTCTGCGGTCGGACGTTTCGCACTCGGTGTGTAATTCTATGCAGCGGATATCGCACGGCGATTAAGGCGTGTGTATACTCGCATGTGATAAGCGCGTGAAAAATAGAGCGAACGGCCCGCAAAAAAGTCGTCTCTCGTCTCGGACTCGAATTCCCGACCGAGAAATATCTCGAAGCTCGCGCTCGCGCGCGCCGAGCACTTTTTCACTCCAGTAACGGCGCAACCTTGCCGCATCGCGCCGATTACACGCGTATGGTAATTTCGCGGCTTTCATCGCGGCATGGTAATACTTCACTGGCTTCGCAAGTGTGTGCTTGTGTGTGTATGTGTGAGCGATAGATAAGCCGTAAACAGCGGCGGTGAGCCACCGTGAGTGCAAGGCCACGACGAAACGATTTAGTCGCGATTGCGAAAAGAAACGAAACAAATCCGCCGAAGGATCCGCGCTTTCCCGACCACTTCGGGGACCAAGCCGGATTTGCTTGGCAGCTCGCTGGCAAATTGGTGCTAGACTGCACATTCCCAGGGACTGTCACATGACGAGGCATTTTCCAGGCCGATCCCCGGCGTCGTCTCTTATCTCCTGCGGAATGCCACCTTGGCGAAGTAGAGCGTATCGTGAGCATATTTAAAAAGCTCCCTCACGCGCGAGCGGATTTCTGACTCTGGTTCGCGCGATAATGCGAAAATCTCTTCGACGGGAAGGAACTCGGTCGTTTCCGATGTGAGGTTTCCCCGGGTTTTCCCCGGAAAAAAAGAGATGCGATAAGGTCGAGCCGCGTCTTCGGCGCGTCGCCGAGACAACGAAATTCACGACTCGCGTGCTCTCCCACGGTGCAGTTGCATCATCAAAACAAAACGGTGCAGCGAACAAAATTCCATCTGACGACACCGGCTTCTAATTCGAGAGCGGCTGCTCGTAACAAACGGGCGCGTCGCGACGGAAGGTAAACACCTCTCGATCGTGGTCGAGAGCGAACGACGGCGCGGGAACGAGTCCTACGCGCGTTAATGAAAAGGTCGTTATCAACGCGCGAGATGTGGGTCGGCCCGGTTCTGAGCAACGAAACTCTATTAACACTATCGCGCGGCTCCATCGAGAACGTCGCCACAGTACCTGATGCGATCTCACCCACCCAGCGTGACACTCGGGATCAATCGTGATTCACGATTCGCCCCGTAGAGACTCACCCCGTATTACACGCGGAGTTAAGTCGCGCGTGAGGCGCGGAAGAAGCGAACCCTTCCCTCGTGCGAAAGTAAGCCTTTGAAACTGAGCAAGCAAGTCTTGAACCGAGCGACTGTACTTCGTATCGTGACTGAACGATCGTCTCGAGTCGCAAGTTGACTATCACTCTTTCGCAAGGCGAATCACGGCGGAAATGTCTTTGTCGCAAGTAGCACGTCGACAATCGGCGAGTATTCGCCGATTTTCAGCTACTTCGCTACTTCATTACTCTTTACTCGCGTCTTACTGATTTTTGCTACAGTGGAGGTAAGAGACGTTGTTGCAGAAATTCTGCAGCGCAGGAAGGTCTTTCTACGATTCGCCGCTTCCTGCGGTCTTCTCAGCGAAATTTCACTGATTGCGCTTCTATTATGCTCGTTACCGAGCATCGCCTCAAGTCGTAACGTCTCGACGAAGAAATACCCTGATTCTACGTTAGAGAGCAAACTGACGATAATGCGAGCGCTGCTCGCAGGCCCACGTCGACGACGCGTACGCGTCGGCGACGTGGACAAGCCCGGCCGACGCGTACGCGTGCGCTTGCAGAAATCGAATTACGCGAAAAGGGGATGTGTGTGGCGCATACGCCGCTTTCATAATCACGAGCGCGCGTATGCGTCAGCGCTTGACGTAACACTTGACAAGACGCCGCTCGCATGTAATTCACTTCACGAGATCGGTATCGCGATACCGGCGGACTGCGCCGCCAGGCATGTTTGCAATTTGCCGATAATCATCAGCTGGCACGCATAAGGCGTTAACGAGTGTCCCGCGCGACGATAATTGAACGATCCCGCGCTTCGAACCGCCGCACGCGGGCCATTGTGCGCGCTAATGACGCCGCCGCGGTGCCGTGGAAATTGCGATCGGCTTCGAGGAGTCGATCCGGCGCAAACGTCGGACATCGTCGATCGTCGATCGTCTCAGTTACGTACTTTGTCGCTGGATACTGCTGAATCGAGGCGCGCTTATCGCGTCGTTTACCACGCCATTATCATTGCCGGCGTGCACCGCGTGGAACGGTTAAGGAACATGTGGCGATTAATCGCCTCCGATAAATCAGTTTACGACGTTAGAGAGGCTGAGATAAACGGCCACGAGATGAGGTGCGTGTCGGTCGGACGCATGATTTGTACGTGTTTATAGATCGCCTCGCCTAAAATGGCGTCTGACAGACGCGGAGGAGCTCCGTTTTTCGGCGATCACGGGGAAAGAGGATGATAACGGGGCTCCTTGATATATTCACAGTGAAGAAGAAAGGGATGAACAAGTGGAGAAAAAATGGCCGCAGGAGAGAATAAACGCGCGGGAAAATCCGCGCGATGTATTTTTGCGAGCGTGCGCGTACCGTGAGAGTTCGCGCGCCGTCTCGGAATGAATCTCTCGAATCTGCCAATCTTGCGGGAGGCGAATGCAAACAACCTATAATACCTCGGAATTTGGGCCAACCGGGCACATCCGTTGCTCCCCTCCCGCGGTGATATGACGCGCTCGCGTGCGCGTTATTTTTAGTATTAACAATTTGCCGAAACGCAAATAACCGCGCATAAACAGACGTGAAAAAGAGCCGAAGGGAGAGATTTACAGGAGAGAGATATAAAGAAGGAGCGAAGTGGAGCGTCTCGAAAGAACTCGACGTCGTTTATGTCGGATCCGAGAACGCGCGGGAGTCTGTCTTACGACCGGCTGAATTATTACGACTCAAAATCCCAGCGCCACTTCGAGCCGTCTTCTGCGCAAATATTAACACGTCGTAAGGCGATCTTGTTAGAAAACATCGTCCTTGGCTTCGCGAAGATATCGCTGGAGCGCGAAAGACCGCGATCGGCTCTCGAGATCGGTCTTTCGATCGAACGACTGAGACGAGGAAGGGAACGCAATCTCGCAAATGCGAGCGTAAAAGGTACACGCGTCGATCCTCTGCTTGTGGCGCAAGAAAGAGCAATCTTTGCGCGCGATTTCACCAGACCACGTGTGACATTTATCGCACGCGTTTCCTGTCCGACGGCAAGCGGCCATAAATCGGCTGGCACGCGTCTCGATGTTAACGCAAGAAGATCTCGGCACCGCGATCGCTGTCTTTGACGCGGTGATCCTCTATTTGAGAGCGATGACCATCTGAGAGAGCTCTGTTACAACACGTCTCCTCCTCCTGTAATACGCGAAACGCTACGTGACGAAAGCTAGTATAATAGCGAACGTCACGTTAACAACAATCGCCCCGCTCGGAATCTAATCGGTCGGAAGTCCGATTCGCTGTCTGCATTCCAGCGTCGCATTTCTCGTTTCCGAGCAAATTCGACGCGGTTCAAAATAAGAATATGAGCAAGCACTTCCTCCTACTTTGAAATTCCACGGAAATGCAGATAGCTTCGATTACATCAGTCGCTCGTCTCTCTCTC